ATTCCAGTCTCCTAAACTGACTCCTAGGCCCGTTGCTAGGCCACGTCCTGAGGAGTTCTCAGATCCGTCCCCTTCTCTGCAGCGGCCATGGCCACAGCCTAGCCCAAGCCACAGCCACCTCACTGCTGGATTTTCTGCTTCCACCGTGGGCCTCCAATCCAATCTCTACCCAGCAGCCCCGAGCTACAGGCTCAATGTGAGTACCAAATCCACTCACACCTCCTGATCACAAGTCCTCACTGGCTCCCTTGCGCTCTGTGGAGCTCTTCCGCTCGGCCTTCGGGCCTGCAGAGCCTGGCGCCCCACTCCCCGCCCCCACTGCCCACCGCCCACCCTCCAGCTCGGTTTGGAACATTCTTCTCCCTCTCTCTCTCTTCCCACATCTCTGGCCTTCATTCAGTTCCTCCCATAACGGTTTTATTGAGATGTAACTCACGTCCCATTATACAATTCACCAACTTAAAAGTACCATTCAATAGTTTTTAGTATATACATAGAGTTGTGTACCATCACAATCAATTTTAGAATATTTTCATCATCCCCAAAAGAAAATCTGTACCCATTTATCACCTCCCTGTCCCCTACTCCATCCCCCACCCCGAGCCCTACGCAATTACTAGTCTGCTTTCTATCTGTATAGATTTGCCTATTCTGGACATTTCATATAAATGGAATCATATAATATGTGGTCCTTTGTGACTGGCCTCTTTCCCTCAGCATAAGGTTTTGAGGTTCATCCATTCTGTAGCATGCAGCAGTACTCCACTCCTTTCTACGGCCATATAATGCCCCACTGTGCGGGTACATGACACTTGGTTTATCCACTCATCAGCTGATGAACACTTGGGCTGTTGTGAATAATGCTGTCATGAACATTTGTGTATGACTATGTGCACATGTTTTCATTTCTCTGGGTTACATACTTGGGAGTGGAATTGCTGGGTCATATGGTGACTCTATGTTTAACCATTTAGGGAATTGCCAGACTGTTTTCCGAAGCAGCTGCCCCATTTTTCCTTCCTACCAGCTGAATGTGAGGGTTCTGATTTCTCCACATCCTCCCAAACACTTGTTATTATCTTTGACTATAGCCATCCGGGTAGTGTGAAGCGGGATCTCATTATGGTTTGCACTTGCATTTTCTTGATGGCTAATGATGTTGTGCATCTTATTGATGTTGATCTTGAGCTGCACCTTGAAGGCCCTGCATGATACCCTGGTCCCCAACCCTAGACCACACACACCTCTCCGACCTCATTTCCCCGTTCCCCTCCCCCTCGCTCCTTCTCTTCCAGCCACACTGGCCTCCCTGCAGGTCCTCGAATGTGCTAGGCCTCTGCTCCAGCTCTTCCCACTGCCTGGAATGCTCTTCCTCTGATAAGCACATAGCTCGTTTCCTCCCTTCCTTCAAACTTGGGTTCAAACACCACCCACTTGGAGAGGCCTACACTGGCCACCAGGCTTAAAATTCACCACAGCATCCATGCAACCTGGCAACCCGAGCCCCCGCCCTGCTCTGCTTTTCTCTTTCCTGCTGCACCCCCTCCCTTCTAACATACCATGTATTTTGTTTATTTTTTTTCACTTTTTTTTTCTGAGGAAGCCCTGAGCTGACATCTGCTGCCAATCCTTCTCTTTTTGCTGAGGAAGACTGGCCCTGAGCTAACATCCGTGCCCATCTTCTTCTACTTCATATGCGGGATGCCTGCCACAGCATGGCTTGACAAGCGGTACATAGGTCCACACCTGGGATCCAAACTGGCGGACCAAGGGCCACCAAAGTGGAGCATGTGAACTTAACCATTGCACCACCAGGCCAGCCTCCTATATTTTGTTTTGATGTGTGCCTTTCCCCATCACAGTAAGCCCCACAATGGAAAAGATCTCTGTTCTCTGATGTATGCCAAGTGCCAGAATGGTGCCTGGCACATAGTAGGTGGTCAATAAATACTTGTTGAATGAATGAAGACCCTGAATCTGTCAGGCACCCTGCTGGGGCTGAGGACAGAATCCCCGCTCTCCTGGGGCTGATCTGTCAGGGGAGGTGGACAACTTCTGATGGACCACGAAGATCAAAGAGGGTGACGCGAACAACCGAAGGAGTGGAGGTGAGGGAAGCCGCTCTGAGAGGTGAGCCCAGGCCATGAGGAGGACAGAAGAGGCATGGAAAGCTCTCCAGGCACAGCAGACTCCCGTCCACATGTCCCCAGGTGAGACAGAGCTTGGCTTATAGGAGACAGATAGAAGGTGGCGGGGGTGGTCCTCAGGGAGAGTGTGTTTATGGACCTCGTCGGAATGTGGGGTTTATTCAAAATGGAGCGGGCAGGAGGGCTCCTGAAAGGTTCCTAGCAGGGCTGGGGCACGGCAGGATCCCAGGGGTCAGCATACAGCCTCCCTGGGGGCCAACTCTGGCCACTGCCTGTTTTTGTAAACCAAGTCTGACCAGAACCCAGCAACCTCCTTCGTCTGCACATTTCGTCCAGGTTGCCCTGGGGTAGACCGGAGCAGGCTGGGACAGAGATCAGTGGCCCGCAAAGGAGAAAAGAACACGCTGCTCACCACTGCCCAGGTGTGTGACATAACCGCCATGCCCCCTTACCTCTCTGACCTCGGCACCCTCACTCTGACCCAGACCCGCTGGCTTCCTGATGGTGTCCCACACACACCGGGCACAATCCCCTCACTGGGCCCTTGCACCTGCCGTACCCTTATCTCAGGATGCTTTTCCCACAGACCCTCCACAGCCCACAGGAGCCTTCCTCAGAGGCCTTCTCTGCTCAGCCAAGATCCAAAAGCAGCCACCATTGCTCCCTTCGCGTCCCCCTGGCCCTGATTTCTTATTTTTCAAAATCTTCATCGCCTGCCGACATGATGCAATATACTTACTTCCTTACTGTTTGGCTCCCCGGGGTCTGTAAGCTCCATGAGAGCAGGAATTTTGTCCCTTCTACTCTGCCATGTCCCCATAGCATCCTGCCTGCCACATCGTAGGTGCTCAAAAAGCAAAAATGTCATTGAATGAACGCAGGTGTCCGGAGGGGAATCCTAACAACATGCACCTGCCAGGAACGCCGCAAGGACGGAGATCAAGCCCGCAAGGAGCCGGAACCGCGCCTGGCACCCGGCAGGCACGGAATAAATAACCACCGTTATTCTCACCATCGTCGTGGCTGTTGGGCGGGTTTTTGAGACAGAGCTTGACTACCACCTCTGTCTGGTCCCAGCCGGGGTGGGGGGCCCTGGGCAAGTCACTGGACGCCCGTCCTTCAGGGTCCCTGTCTGTTCCACCGGCCGGAAGCGTCCGCTCGCAGCAGGCTGAGGTTCCGGGTGCGGCGTGAGGGCGGACCCCACGCGAGCTCTCTATTATACGACTGCAGCGGCGGGGTCTCACACGTCCCCGCCTCCTGTCCCGGAAGCCGAGGCCCAATGAGGGGAAGCTGTCAGCCACGCGCCTTTGCAGGACGCTGTGGCCAAGCCGGGCTGCGCCTAGCTGAGCCGAGGGCCTGAGACGGCCGCACACGAGCCCGGGAGGCCACTTCCGCTTCCGCTCCTCCTCCTCGCTGGGTACCAGCACAGGGCCGCCCCGGGAGGAGGCAGAGGCGGGACCACTTCACTAACTGAGGCCTGAGGCCGCGGTGTGTCCATTTCCCACACAGGGAAACTGAGTGCCAGTGAGGGCCTGGCCGGCTGGGGGCCGCGGGTCAATCACGGGCCGGGCCCGGCCGCGAAGAGGGCCTGGGGACTCTTCCTTCTTCCTTCTCGGTCATCATGAGGGATCCCCGCGCCCATTTCCCACAGGAGGAAACTGAGGCCCGGCGTCGTGACTGACGTCTGGCCGGGGACAGAGGTCCAAGCCTTCGAGGCCGTGCTGACTGGTGTTTGAACCTCAGCAACCCAGGACACAGGTCACAGGTCATTCTCAGCACAAAATGGCGCCTCGTAGAAAAATTTAGATCGATCCCCAGCGCCCAACCCCACCACCTGCTGAGGAGAGGGCACGAGAGGCGGTGTACGCCTCATTTGCATATACAAAAACCAAGGAATTTCGTTGGCTGCGATCGGCTTGGCCCGCGCTAGGCCGAGCCCCCATTGGTCGTTCTCCACTGCTCCCACCCCCTTGGCAATCCCTTCTCCGTCAAGGATTGGCCCGTGCGAGCCTCGTGACGCCGGTCCACGATTGCGCGTCCCTATTGGCCGGAGTGCCTTCCATCATCCGTTTAAACCCCCCAAGTCCCGCCTCCTCTCGCCCCGCCCAGGCTCCCAAGCCGACCGTTAGTCGCGTGCGCGATTTCCTGGGCGTCAGGGCGCGCGCGCGTACTGGGCAGTGGTGGCGTCTCATTCAAACAGCCCAATCAACGGTCGCGTCGCCTCTTGCATCCCTTTCCTCTCTGCTTCCCCGTCTCAGCCCTTCCGTTCTCCAGGGCCCCCTCCTCGACCCCTGCGCGCCCCTATTGGCCGACCCGCCTTGTGCCCCCCTCCCCAACTTCTCCCGCTTCTGCCCTCTGCTTGCGGGAAAGGTGTAAACGCGCTGAACGCCGAGGATCGTGCGCGCTGACGTCACGGGTCGAGGCGCGGCGCTCCGAGGCCGCAGCGGGGCGGGGCCTGCGGGTGGCCATAAAAGGGCGGGGGTGCGCGCGCCGCCGGCTCAGTGCGGCCGGGCACCCGGGGCGGTGGGAGCTTTGGGCGCCGTGCGCTGCGGGCTTCGGAAGCAGCCGGGAGCGGAGCGGGGCCGCCGGTGCCTCGCTAGGGCCGCAGCGTCAGTAGTTGGGCCCCCCGCCCCGGCCGGCGGCCCGGAGAACGCAGGAAGGGGGCCGGGGGGACCCGCCCCCGGCCGGCCGCAGTCATGGTGAGCGCGGCAGCCAGGCCCGGGAGGGGCTGTCGGGGGCCCCCCTGGAGGAGGAGGCGGGGTCTCAGGAGCTTCGCGCCGGCGGCCTAGCGGCTTGGAGCGCCTGTACGGGGGTCCTGGGCCGGGGATGGGCCCAAGGGCCTTCGTGGAGGCGGGGCGGGAGGGGAAGGCCCGGTTGAGCCCTGAGGAGAGTTGCGGGCTTTGTGGCCCGCCCGTGGGTGTTACGAGAGTAAGGACGCTCCGCCGCCATCCCCAGACCAGAGTTGGGGTTTCCAGGATGGTTTTGCCAAGGTTAGATGGGGAAGGGGACCAGGCCTGGCCTCTGCCGACCCGGAACCATCGGTGGCCCATGTGGGGCTACGAGCGGGCTTTGGGGGCTTCTGGGGAAGGTGGAGCCATCCGCAAGTCCGCTCGGAGATCTGCCCCCATTTCTGGTGGGAGATCAGCCTGGCACCGCTGCCTAAAGCCTCCTGGGTGAGGGGTCTGGGAACCCAGGCATGATTGACAGCCTGGGACTGCAGAGTCAAGACCAGGGCGGCCACAATATCCTGGATCCGGGCTCTGCTGGCCACTCACTCTCTTCTCTCCGGTGACCAGAACTCCAACGTGGAGAACCTGCCCCCCCACATCATCCGCCTGGTGTACAAGGAGGTGACAACGCTGACCGCCGACCCGCCAGATGGCATCAAGGTTTTTCCCAACGAGGAGGACCTCACAGACTTGCAGGTCACCATCGAGGGCCCTGGTGAGTGTGAGAACCAAAGAGGGAGAGGCATGCCTTCTAGATTCCTCGTCATCCTTAGATCAAGAATAGGAAGCTCTCATTATAAGCTGGACTGCCAGGCGCTGGGGACGCAGTGGTAGACGGGACAGCACACCTCTTAGCCTCATGGTGCTTGCAGGCTGCAGGGCAGGACACTACAGATGACAATTAATTGTGTATAATTTTCCTGTAAATGTGAGGAAATCCTGGTTGCCCAGAGGGCATACAATGGGGACCTTCCCTGGGTTTGGGGTGAGGCTGTCATCTACGTTCCCTCAGGTAGGAATTCCGTGGGAGTGGGAAGAGGGTGCCAGGCGGTGGGAATAGCATCAGCAAAGACCTGGAGGATGGGCCACACTGTCTCAGACCCTGTCTTGCTGTCAGTGTCAGGAACATAGCAGAGAACAAGGCAGAGCAGCGTTCAGGGCGATGACAGTAGTGACTGAATGCTTACACTGAGACTGTTGAATCACGCGGTGATTTAGCGTATTCCATATGCACTATGTTTCTGCTACTCGTTCAGGTTGTTACAAGAGCGTTTAATGAAGAACCTAGTCCCGAGTGGGGACGGGGTGGGGGGGTGGTCAGGGAAAACTTCCTGAGATGGTGACATGCCCCGATGGGTTGGGGCATTGAAAGTCCCAAAAGGCAGGTGTAATGGGTGCTTTGTAGGAACAGAAAGAAAGAAGAAGGCTGGGGAAGCTTTTAGGAAATAGATTTTCTGGGACTGATGGGCCTCTGTAAGGAGTTTGGACAGGGAGCCATTGGTAGGTTTAAAGCAGGTGTGATGGGTCACTGCAGAGTTCCCTTGGACTTCCATGGGGACAAAGGGAGGGTAGAAACAGGAGGCTGGGCAGGAAGCCACCGACCACTGCTGGCATCCAGTCCAGCTGGACATGGAGCTGGGGTCAGATCCAGGAGGGGACCTGGAGGTCGGCTGCCCAGGCTGCTGATGGGTGGGATGTGGGGGGACTGGGGCCAGAGGACCAGCCATGGGTTTGGAATGGCTCCAGGGTTCCTTGACTGAGCAAATGGGTGAATGAGAGCCCTGTTTACTGTGGCGGGGAGACAGAACAGTCTCATCAGTCACCCACGAGGCTTGCAAGTAGTTGTTTTTCCAAGAAGACAAGTAGGTGTGCGTGTCTCTGCGTCTTGGGAGGGGTACGCAACTGGGGCCTTCCTGTGGGAGAGAAGAGGCATCCAGGGCTTGGTAGCGACACAAGTCAGGGGGTTAGCTCCAGGGGGTTGGGGGGGGTTCCTGCAGCCCCCTGGGAACCCAGCCCTGTCCTGCTCTCAAGAACCCCCCAGTCTGGTGGAGGAGGCAGCAGGGCACTTGCCTCACAGCCACACCATGGAGACCAGGCTTTGGGGTTTTGTGGGGTACCTAGGAGTGCTGAGCCTCTTGACCCAATTTCCCCTCTCTGCATTCCAGAGGGGACCCCATACGCTGGAGGCCTCTTCCGCATGAAACTCCTGCTGGGGAAGGACTTTCCTGCCTCCCCACCTAAGGGCTACTTCTTGACCAAGATCTTCCACCCCAACGTGGGCGCCAACGGTGAGATCTGTGTCAACGTGCTCAAGAGGGACTGGGCAGCTGAGCTGGGCATCCGGCACGTGCTGCTGGTGAGTTCTGGGCTGGACCGGGTCCGCCTCCCTCCTGGACATCCCAGGGAGCCCCCGTGTGTTGTTTCTTTCTTAAAATGAACTATGAAGTGATTGGGGGCCACCGTGTAAAAATCCAGGTTTCCAGTTTTTCTGGGAAATCCTGGAAGGATTGGCAGTGCTGGGCCCAGGCACCTGTGCCTTGGGACGAGGGATGGGTTCATCTAGCAGGTCAGTTTTCTGACAGTTACAAGTCAAACATCTGGTTAGGAGCTTTTAAGATAGAATTCATGGGATCAAAATTCACTGCTCTAAAATGAACAGGTCCTTGGTTTTTCACAGGTCCTTGTTTTTCGGTAGTCACGGAGCTTACTTCCGCACCCGTCATCACTGTCATTCCAGAGTATTTTCATAGACCAGTGTTTCTCAACCACGTGTGATTTTGCCCCCGCCCCCCCCCCAGACATTTTTAATTATCACAGCTGGGAGTGCTACGTCCTCTGGTGGGTGGAGACCAGGGGTGCTGCTCCACACCCTGCAGCGCAGGGACGGCACCCACAGAGTGAGGGGCCTGGTGTCACTGAAGCCCAGGTGGAGACATCGTGGACTGTACCCGTGCCCCAGGGTGCCCACCAGCCACTTGAAGCATTTAGGTCGCCTGCTTCCTCCCCACTCTTCTCACAAGTTAAAAAAAAAAAAAAAAAAGCTTGGCTTTTTTTTTTAACTGAATTTCTAACAAGCCCCTGGGGCAGATGGTAGGCAGGATGGAGAACTGGGGTTTCCTGCAGGGCACAGGGGAGGGCTGAGCTCCAAGGAAACCCCAAACCTTTCCCTCCTCTCCCTGTGGTGACAGTGGTGTCAGGGGACACGAGGGATGAGCTCACAGAGTAACTCCAAGTGGCCCCCATGATCCCCAGAGCCCGCAGTGCAGGGTGTGTGTCCGGCTCAGCAATGAGGGAGCTGCGGGAAGGGCAGCCAGGCCTCCCGTGGTGGGGTGCAGTGGTCAGAATTGAGGAGCCATCAGGTCCCTGGTCATCATCAGTGATGTCTGCTGGGCAGGTGCTTTGCGTGTGTCACCACAGCCCCAGTTTACAGGCGAGAGAGGGCATGTCACCTGCTCAAGGCCAGGCATGTTCTGGGTTCTCTTTTAGAGTGACAGCGGAGGTGGGGCAGACATCATGGCTTAGGGGCAGACCCATGTCAGGATCCACCAGGGCTGCTGGTCTCACCTCTGGGATGTGGAGTTTATGCCTTCTCAGCCTCAGTTTACCCCTCAGTTAAATCTGGCCCATGAAGGGACATGGAGGACTCGCCCCCTTCCTGGACCGCCCTCTGGATGTCCCTCAGGCACCAGTCCCCCTTATGTCTTGGAGCCTTTCTCTTGGGTGTGGTCCGCCCAGCCAGTCTGTGGCTCTGCACTTGGATTCCTATTTAAACCAGGCCCAGATGTGAGTTCCTACAGTCCCCTCACTTCTTGAGTGGCCTTGGGCACATCCCTCTCTCCCCAGTCCCAGTCTCACCACTGGTGCAGTGGGCCTGCGTGGGTGACACTGAGCACAGATGAAGGATGCAGCTGTGATCTGGACCATGTCCCATGTGGGGACACGGTGTTGGGAGCAGAGGCCACAACGCTGGCCGTGGGAGGGTTGGGGGCCCGTGGGTGGCCTGGCCCCTGACCCTGGGCCCTCTCCCCACAGACCATCAAGTGCCTGCTGATCCACCCTAACCCCGAGTCTGCCCTCAACGAGGAGGCGGGCCGCCTGCTCCTGGAGAACTACGAGGAGTACGCCGCCCGCGCCCGCCTGCTCACCGAGATCCACGGCGGTGCCGGCGGGCCCAGCGGCCGGAGGCCTGAGGCCGGCCGGGCCGTGGCCGGTGCGGCTGCGGCCTCCTCCACTGACCCTGTGGCCCCCGGAGGCCCGGGAGGGGCTGAGGGTCCCATGGCCAAGAAGCACGCGGGCGAGCGTGATAAGAAGCTGGCAGCCAAGAGAAAGACGGACAAGAAGCGGGCACTGCGGCGGCTGTAGCGGGCTTTTCTCCTTCCCCACCTGACCCCCAACTCTGTCTCTAAGTTATTTAAATTATGGCTGGGGTGGGAGAGGGCGTGGGGCACTGGGACCTGGATTTGTTTTTCTAAATAAAGTTGGAAAAGCAGCTGCTGTGCCTTGCAGATGCCCCAGGACCCTCCTCGGCCGTGCTGGCTCCCGGCAGTTGGCACCACCATCTGCGCCCTGGTCCGTGTGTCGACCGCAGCACTGGGTCTGCCCCAGCTCACCAGGCCCGCTGTCGGAGGTCTGGGGCCACCTCTGTCTGAGCTGTGGCGGTGGGGTAGTGTCTGGAGTCACATTTCCAGTGGGGGTAGGAAGCGGGTGGGCCTAGGGCCTGCTCTGATGGCTGCCACCCTCGTTCTCCCGAAACAAGCAGGCGTTTGCTTGGCAGTGTCCCTTCCTGCCCCGAATGCCAGGTGACAAGTGTGAGGAGCCTGGCTCTTGCCTTGTCTGTCTGTCCTGGACAGGTGAACTTCTGCGCCCTCATGGCACCCAATCCAGCTGTGGCCTCAAGATTGGTTTTTTCTCTGGGCAACAAAGCATCTCCCGTGTGTATTTCTGGGTACCATCACAAACCCCAGGCCTAAAACGACACCCATCCCACAGCTTCTGTTGGCGGGCAGTGTGGGCGCGACCAGCTGGTCACTGCTCAGGCTTCACAGTGGAAGTTGAGGTACCCGCTGGGCCAGGTTCCTCCCTGGGGTCCTCGGGCTCATGGTTGGAGGCTTTGGGTTCTTGGGCTTGTAGGGCCTGGGGGGTGTTCTCAGCTGGAAGCCGCTGGGTTCTTGCCCTGTGGCCCCTTTCTTCCTGTCTGAAGCCTCAAATGTCCAGCTTAAGGACCTAGTCCTTTTGGGGGCTCAGCTGACTAGATGAGGCTGCCCCGTCGCTCCTGATTAACCCCAAGTAGTAAGAGGTTCTGCCCCCCGGGGGGGCGCGGAGAACCTGGGGCAGGTTAGCTCCCCGCACACACCGCGGCTGCCGGAGGGCAGGGCCCCTCCTCCCTGGCCTGCTTCTCATCTGCAGGACAGCAGACTGGCGGTCATTGTACACCTTGGACTGCTGTGGAGGGTCCGGGGTAAGGGCCGCAAAGCTGCTGGTGTCGGGGCTCAGTGGGGGGAAGGGGAAGGGAAGAGGCCAGAGAAGGCCAGCCAGCCATCTGTGACTCAGTTTCTCATCCAATAACAACAGGCTTTTGTTGCCCTCTGCCAGGCTCTGCTGGGTCCCAAAGACACTGTCAAAAATGATCACAAACAAAATGAAAAAAAAGAATGTGTCTACACAAAGATTTATACATGAATTTTCATAGTTGCTTCCTTTGTAATAGGCAAAAACAAAACAACCCAAATGTTCACCTACAGATGAATGGGTAAAGACATTGGTGAGTTCGTCCAGTGGAACACGACTCAGGAGAATGTCGACAGACAAACAACGCGGATGCAGCTCAGAAGTATCATATGAGGAGTGAGGCCATTTACAGAAGTGAACAAAATATTGGATTCCACTTACATGAAATTCTAGAACAGGCTAAATTAATCACTAGCGGCCCAAAGCAGATCATAGGCTGTATGGGTTCAGGGATATGGGGAACATTTTGGGGTGACAATATTCCAGATCTTGATTATGGTGGTGGTCGCGCCAGTGCATAAATTTGTTAAAACTTATAAAACTATGTACTTAAAATAGGTGCCTTTTACTTTGTGTAAAGTATATCTCAATGAAGTTGATTTTAAAAAAATTTTTAATCAAGAACTACTGTTTATCTAAAGTGAAAGACGAGTCAGTGGGACAGAAGACATTTGCAAGACATAGAACCCAAAAGAACTAATCCAAACAATAGGTAAAGAGCTCCTACAAATCGGTAAGGAAAAGACAGCACAAAAGAGAAGTTGGCAGAAGCACTTGCACAAACACTTCATAGAAAAGGAAATCCCAGTGACTAGCGAACACATGAAGAGACTCGTCCTCATCAGTAACTGGGACAATGCCGTACGCCAAAGTTGATGCCGCCACGCTGCCATGAACCTGGCAACAGTCATGAAGTCTGACAAGACCCAGCGTCCACTGGGTTGTAGGCTGCGGCCGCTCCTGCGCTCCTGGTGGGAGAGAGGTGGGGCGCGTGGCACTTCTCGGAAGGCGAGGGCACGCACTCCTGCTTACTCCGCGCCCTCGCGCACGGGCCACAGGCTTGAAGCAGCCTTTGTCCTAATTGCAAACAGTATCAACATGCTTGTATATTCAGGAAACAATACTATATGACACAAAAACCACCAACCTTCCCTCCTTCCGGCAGTGTGGGAGAATCACAAATGTCACATCAGCCAAAGGAATCACAAGATACCGACAGATTGAATGCCTTCGTCCACCATCCCAGAAGGGCCAGAAATAAGCCGTCCTGCTAAACATCCAGACCTCCCTTGGTAAAACTATACAAGTGAAGAATGTCTCCATAAAGCTCGGGATGCTGGTTACCTCCGGCCAGCACGGGGCCCAGGAGGGCTTTGCGGGCCTGGTGGTCCTCAGTTTCTTTACTTGGTGTTAGTTACATGGGTGCTGCTTGCTTTATAATTATGCTTTTAAGTGTATAAATATGTCTTAGGCACTTTTCTGCATGTCTACTATATACTCATTATGTACGGATACGGACCAATCTCCAAAATACATTAAGTGAAAAACAGCAACAAGCACATGGTGTACATGATGTGCTACCATTTTTGTTAATTTTGTTTTAAGTAGGATGCATATGTATCGGCTTGCATGTGCATTGACTGCCTCTGAGAGGTCACATTAGAACCTGCAAATATGGTCTTAAGGAAGCACAGCTCGGAATAATTTGTGAACGTTCCCCATGCATGCAAAAAGCAAAAACTATTTTTTTTTTAATTTTAAAGACAAAATTTCTGCAAAGAAACAGCTCCCTCTCATTCCTGTCTCCCCAACACCCAGTTCCCTTAATCAGGGACAACCAGTGTCACTAGGTTCTCGTGTATTTTTCTGAGGAAATTCTCTGCAAATATGAGCAAGTTTAAACAGACTCTTTGAAGCCCACCCCCTTTTATTTTCACGCACTAGCAGTGTCCACTACACAGCACATCGCATCTTGCCTTTGTCACGTGACAGCAAGTCTTGGAAGTCAGTCGAGTGAGCACTGACAATCTTTCCTGCTCTTAGCGGCCTCGCACGCCATCGTATAGACGTGCCATTGTGTGTTTCACACGTCCTGGACAGACTCACCGACAGTGCCCGAGGGAATGACCTTTGTATGTGGATCACTGGCACACAAGGGAGTATATCCAAGGCATAATCTTACAAGTGACATTACTGTGCCCAAGGGTACGTTCATTTGTAATTTTGTCCCCGTATTGCCAAATTGTTCCCCATGGGGTTTGTCCCAATTTACACTGTCAGCAATGGATGGTGTGCTTGTTCCTCCACACTCGCCAGTACTGTGATCTATATCCAACATTTGGAATTTTCTCAATCTAAGAGGTGAACAATATCTTAGTATGTTTTTAATACTTTTTTTTAACATTTTTTTTTTTAAAGATTGGCACCTGGGCTAACAACTGTTGCCAATCCTTTTTTTTCTGCTTTTATCTCCCCAAACCCCCCTGTACACAGTTGTATATCTTAGTTGCATGTCCTTCTAGTTGTGGGATGTGGGACGCCGCCTCAACGTGGCCTGAGGAGCAGTGCTATGTCCGCGCCCAGGATCCGAACCCTGGGCCGCCGCAGCGGAGCGCGCGAACTTAACCACTCAGCCACGGGGCCAGCCCCTAATATTTTTTTTTAAGTATGCTATTCTTTGGTGAGGAAGATTGGCCTTGAGCATAACATCTGTTGCCAATCTTCCTTTTTGTTTTCTTCTTCTTCTCCCCAAAGCCCCAGTACCTAGTTGTATATTCTAGTTGTAGGTCCTTCTACTTCTTCTGTGTGGGATGCCGCCTCAGCAAGGCTTGACGAGCAGTGCTAGGCCCGCGCCCAGGATCCAAACGGGCAAACCCCAGGGTGCTGAAGTGGGGCACACAAACTTAACGGCTATGCCACTGGGCTGACCCTACACTTAACTTTTTCTAGAACAGTTTTAGATTTACAGAAAAATTGTGAAGCCAGTTACAGGATCCCCTACTTTTGCATCTCTTCCATAAATACTAAACACAGACACTAAAACAAATATGCTGGGTTTGCAGTAAGAGAGCCCAGGCCCGGCCAGGGTCGGGGAGGCACCGGGAGGGTGAACTCGGCAGGCCCTGGACAGGGATATTCGCGAACAGTGTCTACACAAGCGGTTGAGGGTTGGATCGCGGGCTGGGATCTTACCCTCCTTGGCCCCGGCGACTCCTTCTATTTGCATGTCTCCGAAACACGTGCACATGTTATTTACATAATGAAAAACTTGATAAGAATAGCTGATTTTATTCCAGCAACTGACTACAAAAGGAATAAAGGGAAATTTTTAAAATGCCTGGACGGGGCAGAAACCGCCCGGATCACAAACGCAGCAGAGGCTGCAGTGATGTTCACGACGACATATGGAAGGCCGGGCTGCCCCGGAAACTGGGAACCACGGGGCATCAGAGCGCATGGATTTGGCACATGGCTTCAAAGTGCTCTGAAACACATGAGCATTGTTTTGTGGGCAAATAGTTACAGACATGGGAACACATTTGTGATGATTTGAGTCCATCTGGTCAAAACAACTTATAATAATAAACATCCCTTCATTCATGCAAGGAAAATTTGTGGGCTTGTCTTGGCAGACCGCATCCTAAGCTTTTTGTGCATTTAATCTTCTCCACAGCCTTAGGAAGTAAGGTCTATTGATATGCATGTGTCACAGAAGAGGGAACAAGGCACAGAGAGATTGAAGAATGCGCCCAACGTTGCACAGCCAGGAAGCGCTGGAACCCCAATGTATCTCATGTATCTGTGCAGGTGGGAATATAATCAAGGCCAGCCCCTCCCATGATCAGAGCATGTCTCAGCCCTGAGTCTCCACTGCTGTGAGAAGCCCGGAGGCCCCAGTGCTCTGAGTGACCTTGTGCATGGTAGCTGTCAGGAGCGTGCCCTATACTCACTCATTCTGCAGACATTCCCTGGGCTAGCACTGGAGACACAGCAGCAGAGCAAACCACAATCTCCGTTTTGTGGAGCCCTGAAGGACCAGGCACTTGAAAGGACCTCGGTTCACGTACCGGTAAACTGAGGCATGGAGAGACTAGGTGACTGGCCCAAGTGCCCACGGCTAGGAACCAGCAGACCTGGAATTTGAACCAAGGCAGCCTGGCCCCCTGCTGCTCTGAACCCCCAGTCCAGATGGCACATCGATGGCACCACTGTGGGAGGTGGGTGGCAGCGGCTCTCAGCGCCGGTCATCCCACTGCCCCTGCTGCAGTCCGCTGTCAGTCTTATCAGGGCTCCCCCGCACCCGAGTTGGCTTTCTCTTGTGGTTCCCCAGATTTCCCTTTTGCCTTCAGCTTTCAGCATTTTTATTATGTGGTGTCTGGGTACTTATGGGGTTTTTTCAATCTCATTTTTATTTTTCCTGTTTCTCTCTGCTTTCTAATTCCCATGCCAACACATCACTTGTGAGAAAGTTTGCCTAGAGGGCCTCCTGGAAATCACATCTCCCGCAGGCCCTCCCCCTTCCCAGGAGGGAAGAGATGGGAAGCTGAGGCCCAGAGATGGCTTGTCCACATTCACACAGCACCAGGGGCTCCAGCGTAGACTCAGGGCTGAGACCAATTCCCTCCCTCCCACCGCTCGGCCCCACCCCCCCGTGGCATGCAGACCCCTTGCAAGGGGAGGGGCCGTGAGATGAAGGTGGGCCTTGTGGGCCCGGGCCAGGGGCCTGCCTTTCACTCGAGTGGGATGAAAACGTGGGAGGCTCTGGAGCCGTGTTAAGCCACCTGACTTAGTTCCAACAGGACGCCTCTCCACCTGGGTAGGAACGGACCCAAGTAAGGCAAGGGTGGAGGCTATTCTAACAATCCAGGCGAGGCAGTGTTTGGCCAGAAGTGGTCAGGTTCCCCATGGCCTGGGGAAGGCTGGAGGGGCGGTGGGGGCAGGGGACGGAGGTCAGGAGCTGTGTCCGGGCCTGTGGAGTCTGCTCCTCGAGGCAGGACATCTGCCCCTGACCCGAGCGGGGGCCTCAGGAAGGGGGGCCCTTTGCCCCCTTGGCCACAGAGCTGTGGAGTGGGGGCAGGGAGCACAGCTCCGTCTCTGGACCAGATGCCCAGGACAGCAGGGACCCAGAAGCCCCATGCTGGATGCTTGGCCCCCGGCACAGTGGCTGCTACACAGTAGGTACACAGGAAGCAGGTGTACGTAGGTGCCAGGAGCAGCAACACGGGTGACATTTCCTCCATCCAAGCCTGTTTCTACGTCTGTAAGCTGGGGATGACACCTGCTCTGTCGGGTGTCTGTGTTAGAGATCTAGCTACTTGCCTGAGGCAACAGAGCTAGTGGCCAAGCTGGTTGTAGGACCTGGGCAGCCAGTGTGCAGCACCTCTGCCTTTGAGCTATGAGCCATCATCTGTCTGATAAACACCATCAGGCAAGGAGACAACGGGTCATAGACCAAGAGAGCGGGGTAACTGGAGAACCTGCTTCAGACCCAGTTGTCCAGAGTGGGGGGCCTCTTTGAGGCCGCAGAGCTGTGTCCAGAACAGGAGGCAGCCTCAGGGGATGAGGAGAGGGCGGCAGAGGCAGAGTGGGCACAGAAGAGCCGGGCGGGGACTAGAGGAGCAGTTAGGCTCCGAAGAGCATGCAGGCAGTGAGCCTGGCCCGGGCGGCAAGTGAGGGGCGAGGCTGCAGGATGGGCTGTCCACACGCAGCACAGCAGGAGGCAGACAGCTGGCTGCCCACGTTCTTAGCTAATAGGCTGCTTAAGGATGCCAGCTGATGGAGGAAGCCTGGGGCCAGCCCTCCCTGCTGAGTGGCCTCTGTCCTCGAGGATGGGCAGTGCCCCACAGCGCTGTGAGGATTCACGAGCTGCATCGGTGCCCTGACCATCACCTATCTGCCTCCGATTTCAGACAGGGAGATGGGCGCTCTCGGTCAGAACCAATGGCCATGGCACGATGGGGCCCCGAGGGCTCTGTGCAGCCCTCCCCAAGTCCTAGAACACACTTCACTTCAATCCTGTGCGGTCCCTGCAGCGGCCCTGAGCTGCTGTCCCAGGACCCACAGCAAGGAGGGCCAGCTCGCTCCCTCAGAGCGCCCATCAGGAGTCAGGCTGTCCTACGAGAGCCACAGAGAGTAAATACTTTCATCTTTGCGGGCCACACTGCAAACAAGGCTGTAACAGAGGCACAGAACAGATAACATCATGGAAACAGGAAGGAGGCCAATTCGGCCCACAAGCCAGCGAGCCGGCCCTTCCTTGGTCTAGGGCCCCAGCCCTTAGGAGATTTACTCTAAAGGTTAAGGGATCAAGAATCATCACTTGGGGCCAGCTATACGAGGGGTTAAGTTCGTGCACTCCGCTTAGGCGGCCCAGGGTTTCAACCAGTTCAGATCCAGGGCACAGACATGGCACCGCTCATCAGGCCATGCTGAGCTGGCATCCCACATGCCACAACCAGAGACACTCACAACTAGAGTAAACAACTATGTACTGGGGGGCTTTGGGGAGAAGAAGGGGGAAAAAACCATTACTTATCTTTCTTAAAGCTTTGTCATGTGTTAGCAAAGCGTGGGATTCTGACAATTCCAAACTTAACTTGTTTAACCTGCACTTTTTTTTTAAAGATTTTATTTTTCATTTTTCTCCCCAAAGCCCCCCAGTACGTAGTTGTTATTTTTAGTTGTGAGTCCTTCTAGTCGTGGTATGGGAGATGGCGCCTCAGCGTCGCCTGATGAGCAGTGCCATGCCCGCACCCAGGATACGAACCGGGGAACCTTGGACTGCCGAAGCAGAGCACACGAACTTAACCACTCGGCCATGGGGCCGGCCCATAACCTGCACTTTATAATTTGTCATACTCAACAGTCACTTGTGAAGTGACTGTAAGAACGGACACTGAACCCGGGCCCTCTCTGAGAAGCAAGAGAAACACCGGACCAGGCCGCACACAAGAGTGGGGCTGAGCTCCCCCACCTGGCCCTGGTCCCTCCAGTCCCAAGACACTGCAAGCTGCGTGGTCCCAGTGGGTGAGGAGCCACCTGGGGATAAGCTAACACTCCAGGGTTCTGGTGACACGGCCTAGGTCACACACAGCCAGAAACCTGGGGCCCACACAGAACGGAAGCTCAGGTGAAACGGCTGAACAAAGGCGACTGATGTCTTTATTGCTTTGAGGGTGGCAATGTTCAGGAACTCTTGGTGGGGCGGGTCCGCTTCCTCTTCACCATCACAGGCTTCTGGCTGCGCAGGATGGCGCTGGCTCTGCGGATGGCGGCCTGTGGAGCCAGGTGGGGACCATTTACCCACCTCATCAGCTGTGCGCTCCCAGCCTGCCTCCCAGGTGGGAAATGTCCCTTCTCCCACCTGAGCACCGGTCCAGCTCCGCCAGTCGGCAGAGGGCCCTCCCTCATAGCACTGGCCGGACTCCCCCACTCCCACCAGCTCCTAAGTACAGCCACCTGCGCCCGCGCGGGCCTGCCGCGGCCCCCACTCACCATGCGCAGATCGGGGCGGTACTTGTTCCTGCGGATCATGTGCCGGATGCTGCTGAGGGTGGCCCGGGCGTTCTTGTTGATGGTGGTCCGAACATAGGACGTGGCTGGCTTTCTCTGGCCTGGCAGGGAAGAGTGGCCGTAGGGGTCAGATGGTCTGGGTCTTCAGTGCACCTCCCAGCATGAGGACACAATCCCACCCCAGAACCTGAGGGCCTCGGCTGGGAGCCTGGGCAGGCAGGGTAGCCCCACAGCCAGCCCCATCTCCCCACGCATCCATTTACGGGACAGTCGGTGACCACCACATGCCAAGCCCTGCCACGAGCACTGTACAGGTGTCTCCTCCTCGCTGTGTCCCTCAGACACAGCATTCATCATCTTCACCTCACTTTACATGGATGGGAGCTGACTCCAGGGAGAGGAGAGAGCAGGGCAGGCGAACACTTGGCAGCGGGCTGGCTGGGTAGCGGATGCTTCTCAGACTGCAGCTCCAGCCTCCTCGCTGACCCACCCTCCCAGGCCCAAGCTACCCCCTCTGGTAGAAGAGTCTGAAATGCTGAACTCTAAGGCCTGGCCCGATGCTGGAGGACAAGCAGCCACAAGAGGGCCAGGAATGAGGGAGCGCCGGGGCAAGCACCTGCTCCTCACCTGTGCACAGGTGGAGTCTAGACTCACTGCCCCGGATTAAAAGCTAACAACCCTTTCCTAAGCCACAAAACTGCTGACCTCAGTCAGGATCTGAAGTCGGACGGAACTGATGGAGTCCCGGCTGGAGGCCTGCACTCCTGGCGGAAAGAGTTCCCCCCAAGAAGCCAAGGACTCCTCACCATAAGGGTGGTTTAATGTCACTCTCACCTGACTTGCTGACCTCCTCACGTCAGCCTGGTTCCTGACAGCACAGGAACGGCCAGCCGACAGAGAGAGGAAAGTCAAGTTTTCAGTACCCAACACACCAGAACAGGGTTCTCAGAAGTGTGGGAACCCGGGGCCAGCCCTGTGGCCAAGTGGTTAAGTTCGAGCGCTCGCTCTGCTGCAGGCGGCCCAGTGTTTCATCGGTTCGAGTCCTAGGCGCGGACATGGTGCCGCTCATCAAGCCACAACTAGAGAGACCCACAACTAAGAATGCACAACTATGTACCGAGGGGCTTTGGGGAGAAAAAGGAAAAAATAAAATTTTTCAAAAAAAACAAAACCCCAGCACAAAATAAAACTGGTGGAAGTGCGACAGCCCCAGCTCACCTGTCAGTAACCGTCCAGAGACCCCTGCATCTCCTGGGCCTCCCCTAAGAGGCTGAGAGTGCAGCCCATTGCGGGCGGGGGCGGGGGGTCCTCAGGCCCTCCTGAGTCCACACAAGCAGAACACGGAGTCAAACTGCTGTTTCTGACCCAGCCTATCACTTCCTTCAAAGGATGCTCACCTGTTTGCCTCAATTTTCCCACCTGCAGAGAAATGGAGACACTCTCCACCTGAACTGCTTCAAAGATTTCACCTGCAAGCACGATTTGACCGTGCAAACCCGAAATTTAATCCTTACAACCACCCAGTACAGTCGAGGTGCTAAAATTTCTCCACTGTGCTCATCCACAGACAAGAAAACAGGCTAAGCGAGCCAGAACAAACGCTCACCGGATCTCCGCTTCATCACCACCACGACCCCTTTGCCGTCGGCCGCGGGCTCCACACCCACAGTCTTGCGGTGAATCAGCCCGTTGTAGCGGAAGGAGTTGCGGGCCTTCAGGTTATTGGGCTCCTGGGAAGGAGGACGCAGAGAGGGCCGTGAGGGAGGGGACCCGGCGATAGTGAAGCTGCCTCCCTCCGCCCCGGCCGTCCGGGGCCCACTTACGGTGCTGTACGTCTGCTTGTTCCTCTTGATCAGGAAGCTGGAGCAGTTCCGCACGACCATCCATTGCAGATGCGCGGACATGGCGGCAACTGCGGAGAAAGGGGCGCGGGGAGGTGTCAAAGGGAGGAGCGGGCCGACGCCGGGCCACGGGGTCCCATCCGGAAAACAGAGGTAGGGGTGCAATGGGGACCTGATGGAAGGGGGCACCCCCAAAGGCAGACAGCACCTAGGAATTTGCCAGGCCAGGCTGAGCGACCTAAGGCGGAGGGGCTGAACTCGGGCGCCGAGACTAACTGGGGGGATGAAAGCGGAGCAGAGCGTGAGGAACCACAGCGACCTCGGGCGGCGGGGACGAAGGGCAGCCAAGGGCGCGAGGGGCGCAAGGAGAGAAGCCGGGCGGCCGGCGCAACTCGACCACGCGGGCGGACGCACGGCACCAGCTCACCTCCACTCAGCGCGGCGGCCGGAGACGGAAAGAGACCGACGGGAGGCGGGGCGATGTCTTTAATACCGATACGCATTTCCGCTTCCTCTCTGGGCTCGCGCGTGCCAGGGCCTGTCCCCGCCTCCTCCCGCCCTCCTCCGAGGAGGCTCGGAGACCTTCGGCTATTTCCGCTAGCCCGTCGCACACCGCTCGGGGATCTTCGGAACTCTCCTGCGAGAGACCCGAGGGCATGTTCTCGGACGCGGAGCACCAAAGTTCTGAGGACCCTTCGTGTATTTTCAGAATCCCATGGCTGGGTTTCTGAGTGGGTCCCTCTCGACAGGCCCCAAGTCCCCTTCCTTAGCGGCCTCTCCCTAGTATTGTTTACCCAGAGCTTAGCACTGTGCACAGACTAGGCGCTCAATAAACATTTGTTTTATGAATGAACCTGTGAGTGCGTGAACTAGTTAAGCCTAACTGCGGTGTCTTCGGATGCTTCCGGTCTTCTTCGTAAACCCTCGGCTATTCCCGACGAAGGCACCGAGGCCCGCTCGGACATCTTCGGCACTCTCCGGAAACGCCCTTCAGCTCAGTGTCTGCCTTCCCCTATTGGCTCACGCCCGGTTCGGGTCTGTCCGTAAGCGCTCGGCCACGTTCGGAACCCTTCGGCTAATCCCGGCGGCCCTCTCTTACTTCTCTCTCCCCAGGGTCCTCTTAAAATAAACTCCTAAACTCTTCGGAGTCTGGAGAAAAGTTTCTCGGAACCTTCTCGCAGACTGCCAGCGTGGGTTTCCTGTCGGGCGAGTTGATGTTTAGAGGAAAGGAGATTTGCCTGGGGAAGCTCTTGGTTCCTTTAGGGGTTCCACACCTGTTGGTCCAGCTCCCATTGTTCCCCTGCAGTCCGCCCTGCGTCACGCCCATTAAACCTCCCGGAAGTTTATTTCCTGTTGTCGGGGTCACGTTAAGGGGCAGGAGCCTTGCCCGAGGGAGGTCTGTGGGCTCGGCCTCACCGGCACCGGGCCTGGGGCTGGGGGGACCTCAGGAGACCCCAGAGAACAAAAGGAATGGCCGCGCCTCTGCCATCTCCACGAGTGCCCCTGGGCTTGCACTTAGGTCTGGAACCTCCCCGAGGGCAGGGGCCTTGTCTGGTCCCCGTCTGCGCCCGTGGGCTTCGCCGTGTCGGGTCCTGACAGTCCAGAGGCCCCGGCGGAAACCACGGAGCAAACGCGAGAGGCGCGGTTTGTCCGGTGCCCCCGCAGCGTCCCGAATCGGGGCCGTGTGCCGCTCCGCGCTCCCTGGGGCGCAGGGGCCCTAGGCCACCGCTGTCTGTGAGCCCGGCTGCCCCCAGCAGAGGGCTCCGAGGGCCGAGCCCTCCGCAGCACCCGGGCCAGGGCGCCCCGTCCGCGCCCAGCTCAGGTGACCGGGCGGGCGCCGGGCACACCTGGCGCCGTCCCCTGACCCCGCCCCGGTCGGGCCGCACCCCAGGACGCTCTCGGTGGGAGCCAGCGCGGCGCAGCAGGGCCATGGCGGCCGTGCCGGCGGTGTGCGCCGCGCAGGGGCCCCGCCCAGCGCACCGTCCCCGCCGGCCGGCGCGCCCGTGCCCTCGTCCGGCCTGGGCCGCTGCCGGATGGCGCTGCTGCTGGCCGTGGCGCTGGACGTGGCGGGCATGGCGGCGCTGCTGACCGGCGTGTTCGCGCAGCTGCAGGTGCGCGGCCGCGACTTCGGCGACCTGCTCATCTACTCGGGCGCGCTGCTCGTCTTCCTGAGCCTGCTCGGCTGGATCCTCTGGTACACCGGCAACATCGAGATCTCGCGCCAGGAGCTCGAGCGCGACTACGGCCTGCGGCCCTCGGCGATCGCCCGCCTCGCGCGCAAGCTCTCCCGCCGCTGGTCGGCGCCCGCCGCCGCCGCCGCTGCCGGCCCGCGCGCCGCGCTCGGCTCCCGGGGAGCACGCCGCACCGCCCGCGCGCCCCCGCCGCCCGCCGCCGGCTCCCGCCGCGTGCGCCTGCAACTCGCCACGCTCGAGGCCGGGCCCGGGGCGGCGGGCGCCGGCAGCGACTGAGGCCGAGGTGAGGGGGCGGGGAAGCGGGGCGGGAGGCGGGGAGAGGTGGAGGGATCGAGGGAGAGACGGAGAGACGGGAGAGAGAGGGAGGGAAAGTGGGCGAGATGGAGAGACATCGAGGAGAGGAGGAAATGAATGGAGACAACGGAAAGATGGAGAGAGAGAGACAGAAATAGACAATGGGGAGAGAGAGACACAGGACGAGGTCAGGATTGGAAAGGAGAGAGAAGCAGAGAGTAGCAGAGTGCCAGAGGATGGGGACTCTGAGACAGCAGGCATGACTGCAGACTTGGGAGAGACCAGTGAGACCCTGCCCCCGAAGATGAAGGTGGAGTCACCATTGGCTCCTCGTAGCACGTGGGGATCCCTCCCTGCCTTTCAGCCTCAGGAGCACCAGGTCCCATTTAATCCTTTCAGTGTCACTGCGTCCCTGAGGTCACTACTCTTTCCATCCGCATTCTAGTGAAGGACACTGAGACCCAGAAAAGTGCCACCTCTTGCCTGACAGCACACAGCTGGGAGTCTCCTGACAAGTAGTCTAAAGAGAGGGGGAAGGAGGAGTGATGGCCACAGGGAGCCAGACGCAGGGAAGGCTGGGCGGCTCATTCCCTCCCCTTTCTGTCTCCTTTACCTTTTGTCCCCTTTCTAAACATGCACTCTCCAGCTTGCACTCCTCTGCCAGAGACCTTCTGTGGCTCTCTGTTGCCCTCTGGTTAAACCCAAGCTGCTTACTGCGTGAGCCCCCCACGGTCCAGCCCCACATTTCCTGCCTTCTCTGCAGTCGTGATAACGTCCCTCAGTCCACAGGCGGCCAGGGTCTCTCACACCAGTTGTGCATGCCCTTCCCTCCACCAGCAGTGCCCCTGCCATCTGTACTCCACACAGAAAACTTCCCATACGTCCTTTAAGATCCAATTCAACTTAACTGTCTTTCTCTGGGTTTTCACATTGTCCAAGTTACCTCCGCTATTATTGTATTACCTTGTGTTGTGTCTGTGTGTGCTGGTACTGTCTCTCCTGCCCAACAGGGAGCCCCTTGAGGGTCAGGCCTGGGTCTCTGGTGTCTTTGTTCTTAACATTGCCTGGCAAAGAGTGAACTCAGCAAATCGGGTTGATGATCGTGTAGGTGGTGGGTGGCTGGATGGGTGGACAGAAGGATGGATTGGTTGATGGATGGGTGGGGGGATGGATGAATTGTTGATGAATGATTGGATGGACTGGTGAAGGGAGAGGTGGATGGACTGAGTGAATGGGTGGGTGGATAGAGGAATGAATGGATGAATTGCTGGATGTGGTTCGACTGATGGATGGATGGGTGAGTGATGGATGGATGAGTTGGTTGATGGATGTGTGGGTGGATGGATGATTTGGGCAGATGGGTGGGTAGATAGATGAGGGGATGGATGGATGGCTTGATTGATGAGTGGATGGATAGGTGGAACACTGAATGGATAGGTGACTGAATCAGTTTCTCAAATGGGAGTTCCATAAAAGACGTAAACCCTAATGTCGTAAGACATTCCCTATATGGGATGAATTAACTTTCCTCTTATGCATCCAGAACAATACTAGTTGTATACCTTTCTTTGTGAGAATTGAGAAAATAGTCCTTGCGGTCACCTGCTATGTTCTATGGGTTGGATGAGGAAACCAGTTTAAGAAACGATGAGCATATGCATATGAGGTATGCATAGGTGGAGCATGAGCTAACACAAAATTTGGCGGATAATGCAGAAATAGCCACTGTGATCAAAATTACCCCTGAAAATCCTTTACCTTACCCAAAAGTCTAACACAGGTGGGTGGACCTCCACTGCTGGAACCACCTGCCAGACACTGGCCAAGCTGACTTGAGTGTGGGCCCCTCCTAGAAGGAAAATGACCCTGTCTAAACCCAGGACACCTCCTCAGTGGGCAGGGTGAGGTGCCGCCAGCACATGAAGGATAGAGAAGTGGGATCCTCACAGAGGGACCCATAGGCCCTGGCTCCGGTCACTCCTCTCCCGCTTTGGGACCAGAATCAGTTGAGTAGCCAGACAGAGCCACCCTCATCCTTTCTTACTTCTCCCCTCTCTTTGTCTGCGTCTCCGCCTGTGGTCTCTCTCTCTGTCCCTGTCTCCCATGTCTCTTTTGGTCTCTGTGCCTTTGTATTTCTCTCTCTACATATCTCTCTGCCTTTCCCTGTCTCTCACCCCGACCTTGTACTCTGGATTCCAATGAGCTAAAGGTGGCATGGAGAGACGAAGGAGCAAGTGGGCCTGTGTGTACGTCAATGTTGCGGGGCGGGGGGAGGGGGCCGAAGCAGGAAAGGGCTCCCTCCCTCCGCATCCCAGGCCGCTGGGTGATGGGCCCAGGACACAGGGATACAGGGAGGGGTCAGAGCAGCCACTAACTCCGCCATCCCTCCTGCAGAGGAACCTGTGGCCCCACCTGTCAGGACCGGACTGAGATGTGCAGCTGCCCTCAGCATCACCTGGCCGCCAGGATGCCTACCTGCCCTCCCTCTCTCCTGCCCTGGATAAATGGCTCTGCCCCTCACGCAGCATGTCTCTTTGGGAGGGGGATGGCACTGGGGCTGGGGGTGAGAGGTTGCTTGCTGCTTTCCAGGGCTAGGGGCCTGAGTTGCCTAGGCCACACCCACAAAGCGGCTGCTCATGCCCTTGGGGACATAGGAGTCCAGCTTTATGTTGGCCCCTCACAGAGGGGGACGGGAGGTGGGGGTCAAGGATCTGGAGCCCAGACCCACCCCCTCAGTCCAGACCTCCCTTGGCCCAGGCTCCTCTGTTGGTTTGAGGCCCTCCAAGAAGCAGGCGTAGGGACAAATTAGACTTGCAAGATATTTATTGGGAGAGATCTTATGGAGGGTAGGGTGGTATGGGTCTGACACCTGAGAAAGGAGAGAGGGGAGGAAGGAGGGTTGTGCAGGACACGTCTTGAACTGTAACACACTTCCAAGAAAATTTCTGCCCGGCCGCTGGGGAGTCTGAGCTAAAGTCGTCCGCTGGGGGAGTCCCACATTCCGCAAGGACCCCAGCCCCGCTCAGACATTGGTGGGAAGTGCGGCAAACGCTGGCAGAGGGGGCTGGGATCCCAAGGGCAGGCAGCAGAGGCTGTGAGCCACGGGTGCTTCTGCAGAAGAGGAGCTGAGGGGCACATTCCCGTGGCTGTGGCATGTCCCCCCTCAGCCCAGTAAGGTACCCCTAGCCCGGCTGCCCTCTCAGACCCCTTAGCCCAGGCCACCCCCTATTTACCCCTACCTGCCTCAGTCCACACTCACCATGGTCACAGGCCAAGACCCGCGCTCAGCCCAGGACTCCTCAGCTCAGATCCTCGAAGCTTACCCTAGACTCCTCTCACTCTAGGCCCCCCCTCAGCTCACACCCTCCATGATCACAGCCCAGCTCCCCCGACTCAGCCCGGGCTCCCTCCCCAAACACACACACCCACACTCACACACATACTCCCTGCCCGGGGTCCTCATACCCACCTTGTTCCCATGGCCCTCAGAAAAGAAATCACACATCTATATGCTATATCTGTATTGAGGGGTCCCCCCGGGGGCACCCCTAATCTTCCTCATCCGCCCCTTCTGTTTCTTCGCCCCCTTCCGTCCCTTCCCCTTCGGTGGCCCCCGAGGCTTCCAAGCCCCCCTCCGTCGGCAGGGAGGGCTGCATGCTGCCGATGGACGCCGTCTTTTTCTCGCTCAGAGTCCCCCGGTCCTTGGATAACAGGGAGACAGTCCTCGACAGTTTGCATTTGCCCTGCAAGAACCCTGGAAGGTGCAGCATATCCCGGCGCCTGGCCCACCTGGTGGGGAGGGGACACGCTCAGACCTGCCCATCCATCCGCCTGCTCCTCTCAGGGCCTGGGAGCCCACCCGAGCCCCGACCCCACTTGCCAGAACAGGCAGATGCTGCAGATCAGGAAGAGGAGGCCTCCGCACGTCCAGCCCAGCGCCCACATGTGTCTCCTCCGCATAGTTTCTGAACCAAGGAGGGAGGTATGAGACCCAGGAGTGCCAGCCACCAGCCCCAGCCCCAGGGACCCCAGCTTCCGGGCACTCACCATCTGGCCGCTGGTGGTAGCAGACCCCGTCGCGGTAGCAGCATCGCAGACGCAGACAGAGATTGGGATTCTCGATGGCCGCCTGACCCCCACAGCTCTCCCGGTCCCACACGTCTCCCTCACAGCCTGGGGACAGATCAGAAGTGGTGGCTTCGTCACAGAGCCTGGCTCTGCAGGCATCAGAACACAGGGGTCCCAAGGCCAGGCTCTGGGGCTGCCTGCCTAGTGCTTACTCTGTACAGACCCAGGAGTCCAGGCCCCCACCCCCTCCTCCCTCAGACCCAGGGGTCTAGGCCCCCAGCCCCTCCTCCCTCAGACCCAGGGGTCCAGACCTCCAGCCCCTTTTCCCTCAGACCCAAGAGTCCAGACCCCCAGCCCCTCCTCCTTTTAGACCCAAGAGTCTAGGCTGGGCTCCCTGCCCCTGTGGGACCCAAGATTTCATCCACTGCTCACTCCATGGATAGAAAAATCCCTGGATTCCATTTCCATCTGTGAAAGAAAAGAGATGGTGTCGGAGGTGCTGTATGGAGGCTGAGTAGGCCCCCCTCTCAGCTCTCTGCCCCTTATGTCGGCCACCTCACCTACTGAGCCCTGCATCAGCAGGAAGAGGCTCAAAGCTGGGATCCCAGAACCCACCATGTTGCCTCCCCAGACCCTCAGGGCCTCTGTGGGGAGAGACCTTGAAGGCCATCACCCCAGCAACTGGCTTGGCCCCGCCCGCCCCCCAGCCCCCAGGATTCTAAGTTCTGTTGCTAGGGAGCCCCCTTAGCAATGGGGAAGAAGGAAGAAGGGGTCACACTGGCCTGGGTGCTAGGGAGTTGCTTCCTTAGCAACCAGGTGGAAGGGGCCTGGGGTGGAGGTGGGGGTCTGGGCATTAAGAGAGCCACCTTAGCAACCTGGGAGGAAAGCTGGCAGGGGACTATGACATCTCCTTCATACCAACCGGGGGACCCTGAGAGGTGGGGATCCCAGAGACCTTGTCAGGGAATCCCTGTTTAGTAACTTGATGCCTACGAGGCAGCGCCAGGTGGCCCAAAGGCTCCTAAGACCTGGTTGTCACGGGGTCTTCCCCCTAGCAACCAGGGGCCAATGGGCCTGAGGCTCAGAAGGCCTCACTGAGTCCCATTGTTAGGGAGGCCCCCCAGCAACCAGGGGACCTAGCAGGGCAACAAGAAAATGGAGGTCGGGCCCCAGGCCAGAGCACCTGCTGGAGAGTCCCCTGGTCCCGATGCACCCCAGGCCTCACCAGGGGGCGTGTGTAACCTGAGCAGCTTGGCAGTACCAGGCCTCAGGGATCCGAAGGCCTCGGGGTGGGGAGCTGCCTGGCGTGGAGAGGGTGACTCATGGGCACGGAGGCCCCTCTCCTACCTAGGCCTCAGTTTCAACACCCACAACTGGGGAAAGGGGTCCAACTGGAGGTCCTCAAGCTTCTGGTTTGGTCCCCCAAGAGTGGGAGAGGAGGCCGACTGGGGGGCTGGGTTGGGACTGCGATGCCTAGCAGCACAGTGAGGAGGAGGCTCAACCCTCCTGGGGCAGTGCGGCTTTGCGTCCAGACTCCTGAGTCTGAGGGAAATGGAGGCTGGGGCTCCGGAGCCCCTGGGTCTGAGGGAGGAGGGGCTGGGGGCCTGGACTCCTGGGTCTGAGGGAGGAGGGGCTGGGACCTGGACTCCTGGGTCTGAGGGAGGAGGGGCTGGGGGCCTGGACTCCTGGGTCTGAGGGAGGAGGGGCTGGGGGCCTGGACCCCTAGGTCTGAGGGAGGGGGGACTGGGGACCTAGACCCCTGGGTCTGAGGGAGGAGGGGTCTGGGGTCTGGACCCCGGGGTCGGAGGGAGGAGGGGCTAGGGGCCTGGACTCCCGAGCAGCAGCAGGGGACCAGGCCTGGGGGCAACTGTCCAGGAGTCCAGACCCCATTTCTCGGTAAGCCCCGTGAGGCTGACTCCCGTCTTGCCCATCTCCTGTAAACATCCTGGTGGGAGCTGAGTGGGCCCTGGGCTGCCTCCGTCAGAGATGACATAGGTCAGAGGGGGCTCGGCAGGGGGCCGGGGGTGGGGGTCAGAGGGGTTGTGGGGCTGAGGCTGGGCAGCTGCTGACCGTTTCCTGTGTCAACATCATCTGGACCCACTTCCCAATTCCCGGGATTCCTCAGGGATCAAGGAGGGGGTGGGGGGGCGGGGCCACTGGGCCCTGGACCGCGGCTTGGGACTGGGGGGGCAGCCGTCACGGCCCTCACCGCTAATGACAGGTTTGGGCTGCCTCTGCGGCCCGCCTGCCCCGTCACCCCTCAGAGGCCAGACAGGACCCCCCAGGGACAGACAGACGGACACACACAGCCTTGGACCTGCTGACCTCACACCCAGCCAGCCCCACCTCACCCAGGGGCCAGCACATGAGCAAGGACCCCCCGGGCTCCCCCTGGTATCCCAGTGGCATCTCCCCGCTGCTGGCCGTCTCTGACCACCATTCAGAGCCTCCAGCACCCCATCTCCCCCAGTCTTCATCTCTGAGCCTCTGAGCTTGTCTCTTTGTGTCTCTGTAGATCCCTTTTCTGTTGTTTGCATCTCTGGTTTTTTCTCACTCTGGGTCCCTGCTCCTGTCTCCATTTCTGTTTGTTGCTTTCACCTTCTATCATTGTTTGTAATTCCCTACCTTGTTTCTCTCAGTCTCTTTACCCATGTCGCTCTCTCTCCTTCCTGCCCTCCTTTCCACAGAAGTAGCCCAAGTGTCCTCACCCAGGGAAGACCCAGGAGTCCTGAGCAATCCCCCACCTTCCTGTCCTGCACCCACCCTGTTTCCCTCAGCCTCCTCCAGCCACACTGGGGGAAGATGACCCCACAGCCCCAGGGAGAGGGCTGAGGGGGCTGGCACCAGCTAGGGCCCACTGACCTGTTTCCAGACTCCTGACCTTCCCCACACAGAGTACTCCCTAAATTGCAGAATGGCAACACATTTTTCTCCATCTTTCTGGAAACTAGGGTTTAGAGACTGAGCCCCTAACACCTAGGTCTGAGGAAGGAAGGGCTGGGAGTCTGGATTCTTAGGTTTGAGGGAGGAGGGGCTGGGGTCTGGACCCCTGGGTCTGAGGGAGGAGGGGCTGGAGCTGCCCCCCCCCCCACACCCATAGGTGGAAGGGGCTGCCATTACGGGATCCCTATTGTTGCTCTGAGGCTGGCCCCAGGCCCAGTCCCTATCCCCTCGGGCCAGTCCATCCCCCAGGCTGGTGGCCTGAGTCACCTTGGCTGGCCCCGCCGGTCTGGGGGGGGGCTACGTCAGTTCTCCCCTCACTGACGCAGCCTCAGGCCCCCCACACTGACTCAGCCGGAAACAGGCCCCCTGAGGGGCGGAGACCCAGTGGTCAGAGGCCTGGGTCCCAGCGGGAGCAGGGGCTGTGGAGGCCCCTGGGGGGCCCTGGAAGGGGTGGCCATGACAGACCAAGAAAGAGAGAAAGCTCTTACCTGAGGCGATGAGGTCATGTCCCACCATGGGGGGGCTGTGACCTCACCTCCCTGGGGACCTGAGCAGTCGCCCCCCAGTGGTGGGTTGGTGGGGGATGGGAGGGGAACAACTCCATTCACCATTTATCCCCAGAGCCCTCTGCCAGCTCAGCACAGTCTGGGGGGCCAGGAGGGGTCTTCAGGGAGATTTTTGGAAGTCCTTGTCACGTTTTGTCTTCGCACTCCCATCTGTCTCTTTCTGCCACCTGTATCTTGGAGGGAGCTCCTGGGAATTGGGCTCATATCGGTCCCTCCCTGGCTCTGCAGTGCATCCCAGGGCCATCTCTGTCCCATATACCTGGCGCTCACCGTCTGCGTGCCTGTGTGGACATCTCTGGCCCCCTGAATCTGCATCTCCCTCTCCTGCTGCCAGCCTCTGGTGGCTCCATCTCTGTGCACAGTGTCCTCCCTGCCTGGTCCCCATGTCCAGCTCTGTGGCTGAGCCACTCTCTCCTGTTCCCACCACCCTCACTCTCCATCTCACCCGCTCACCATCTCCACCTCTCCCAGTGGCTACCACGTTTTCTCTTTCTGGGCTTGTTAATAAAAATCAACAGCAAGAATAGCAATGGCTCATATTTATTGGGAGCTGACTGTGTGCTTTACACTTTATCCTCACCAAGGCATTTGGGGGGTGGGGTGGGTACTCGATTGTCCCCACTCCTCCGACGAGGAAACTGAGGCACAGAAGGGTGAAGCCATGTGCCTGAGTGCCCACTTCTGCTGGGTGTCTTGACACCTCTCTCTCCTGGTCTCTTGTCTCTGTCTCTGGTTCTCTCTCACCTTCACAGCTCTACCTGTCTCCTGGAGAAAGGCTCTCCCTCCCTTTGTACCCATTGCTGACTCCCCGACATCTCAGCATTTCCATCTCTGAGTATCTGTCTCCTCGTCTCTGTCTCTTGGGGCGTCTCCATCTTTGTCGCCCTGCCTTGGTGTCTCTGTTCTCTCTGTGCATTTCTTCTGTCACCTTCCTGCCACTCCTCTAAGACTGCGTGTCTTTGTCCCTTTTCCTCTTGGGGTCTCTCTGGGTCTCTCCAAATCTCTCTCCTGCTGTCTTCATCTTGCTCTCTGATCTCTGACTCCCGGAACCTCTCCTGTCTGTCTCCTTGTCCTTTCCACTCCTGCAATGTATCTCCTTGGCTGTCTCCATCTCTCGGTGTATCTCTGGCCATCTCTGCATCTCAGACTTTCCATCTCTGCCCCAGTGTGCCCATCTGTCCAAGTGTCTCTGTCTCCTTGCCTGGGTCTCAGTCTCTCCATCTCTCTTTCCGTCTCTCTCTCTGTCCCTTGGAGACTCTCCCCCTGGAGCCACCTCTCGCCATGTCCCTCTCCCCCTCCCTCCCCACCACTCTGCCTCGCCTGGTCCAGCCGGACCCCCACCCTCAGCCTAGCCGGGCCCCATCTCTTGAGCCATGTGTGTCTGCCCAGCGGCCGCCGAGGAGGTGGAGGGAGGGGACGCCAATGACCTCACCCTTGCCTCTCCTGCCTCTCCGACCACCCCCCCTTTCCCTTTTCAAGTTTTCCAACTTTTCCTTCTGTGCCCTCCTCCGAGCAAGGCGGCGGGAGCCGTGCGCGGCAGCCGGCCCCGTCTGAATGGAAAAGGCAGGCAGGGAGGGTGAGTCAGGATGTGTCAGGCCGCCCTCCCCTGCCGCCTGCCCCCCGCCCGCCCGCCTCGGCCCCCTATATAACCCCCCAGGCGTACACACTCCCTCACTGCCGCGGCCCTCGCTGCTCACACGCACATGCCTCCCCTCCCCAGGCCGAGGCCCAGCTGACCCCCGGGGCTCCCCTGGCAGCGGACAGGGAAGGGTTAAAGGTCCCCAGCTCCCTGCCCCCTGCCCTGGGGAACCCCTGCCCTGTGGGGACATGAACAGTAAGTTGGTTCAAGTTCCTCGTGGCGGGGAACGGGGAGGGAGGAGGGAGGGACCGTCGGCGGGGAGGGTAGGAGCCGACAGACACAGCGGAATGGGACAGAGAGAGAGAGAGGAGAGAGAGAGCGCGCTGGGGAGCCCGATGCGGAGGAAAGAAGAGCGAGAGACGGCAGGAGGCCCAGAGAAGACACGGCAGAGAGAGGGAAGAAAGGACGAATCAGAAAGGCGGAGACACCACAGGGCAGCGCGAGGATGAGAGAACGGGAGACTCACAGAGACAGAGAGACAAATGCGGGGAGGTGACCCCAAAGGGCCTGGAACCCTCAGGGAGTCAGCGGGGACCGAGAGACGCAGGCACCCAGGGACCCGACAGAAAGGCTCCGGGGGGGAAACTGAGGCAGAGAGCCCAAAGAGGTGAGAGCAAGCCTGGAACACTGACCCCAGCCAGGGGGAGGAGCGAAAGAGAGAGACAGGGGTGCAGACAGACACCGGAGAGCCAGACAGATGCGGACGGACGGACGGACAGACAGCGGCCGGGGAGGGGCCCAGGGGGCGGGCTGGGGGTGTGATGCTGGAGCGAGGCGGCCCGGGGGGCGCTGATTGGCTGGTGGGCGGGGTGGGCGGGGCAGCGGGGGATGGGCTGCGAGGAGGGAGCCGGCCGGAGCCCCAGGGTGGAGTGCCGCCGCCTGCTCCCGCTCTCCCAGCCGCGCCCCCGGCGGCGCCCGCGTCCCAGCCTCCCTCCGCCCAGGTGTGCTCCGGCGGATCCCCGGCAATGCAGCCCGGCCCTGGGCGGTGCACTCCGTGGGGGTTCCCCAGGGAGGGCTCGGGGCCTCCGGGTCACGGTCCGGCTCTCCTTCTCCTCCTCTCAGTCCGGCTGGGGCTCCCGGGGCCCGGGAGGGGGCAGGTTCTGGCCTGTGCCTCCCCCTCATGCCCCGCCCCGGGGCCCAGATTCCGGCGTCCGGGGGCGGACGGGAGACGCCCGGCCCGTCTACCCGCCCCGGGCCGCGTCTGCTCCGACGGGCGGGGCAGCCGGAGCCGGAGAGGGAGAGGGAATCCCGCCCGGCTCTGCGACCTGCCCTGGGCGCTCCACCCTGGGACTCAGGACCCCCAGGCCCCTCCTCCCTCAGACCCACTAGCCGGGCCTGAGCCCTCTGCCTTCTCCCGCCCCCAGGTGTTTGCTGCCTGTTCCTGGTCGTGCTGAGCCTGTGGCCAGATAGGACTGCCGCCCCAGGGCCACCTCCTGGCCCCCCGAGGGCCTCCCCAGCCCCTCGGGCTGAGCTGGACAGCGCCGTCCTCCTGACGCGCTCCCTCCTGGGGGACACTCGGCAGCTGGCCGCACAGCTGGTAGGAGAGGCTGGAGGGGATGGGCTGGGTCCAGGATGGAGAGTGACAGCTTGTGTGTGGGGGGGATCTGCAGTTAAGCCACCAGGAGGGCTTCTGGGCTACCACCGTGGCAGAGATGGGGGAGGGAGGAGTTTGGGCCCCTCGTGAGGATGGAGGGACCCCTGGAGCTGGGCAGCCCCTTACAGCTTCTTTCCCCACAGAGGGACAAATTCCCAGCCGACGGAGACCACAACCTGGACTCCCTCCCAACCTTGGCCATGAGTGCGGGGGCACTGGGAGCCCTGCAGGTAAGGGAGGGGGAGAGGGATGGGGCGAAGGAAGGAGCTGGGCAGTGGAGGGGGCGCGGGGGACTGGGAGCCAGAGCGGGCGTGTGCCAGGCACTCCCTGACGCCCCCATGCCGTGTCCCCAGCTCCCGGGCGTGCTGACACGGCTGCGCGCAGACCTGTTCTCCTACTTGCGGCACCTGCAGTGGCTGCGCCGGGCAGGCGGCCCTTCCCTGCGGACCCTGGAGCCAGAGCTGGGGGCCCTGCAGGCCCGGCTGGACCGCCTGCTACGCCGGCTGCAGCTCCTGGTACGATGCCCCGGCTCCAAAACCTGACACCCCAGACTTGAAACCTGAGACCCCAGGACCCCAGACCCTGGGCCGGCTCTGAGACCCCATGATCTCATGACCCTGAGAGATTCCCACTCTGAAGCCCTAAGACTTGAGAGTCCAAACCCTCACCCCCAGACTTGGAGATCCTGGCCCCAAGACATGGGGATTCCGGATCCCATGCCCTAAGAAACACTGATCCTCCAGTCTCCGAACCCCCAGCCCTGGCCCTGAGATCCTAACACCTCTCGGCTCCAGACTAAGATGCCAGACTCTGACCCAAAGGCAGACCTTGGCTCTGCACACCCCAGGCCACAAGAACCTGACCCTGAGATCTCAAATGAGAAGACCCCAGACCCTGAGCCCTGAGTCCCCAAGACCTCAGACCCCAGCGGTGAGCCCTTAAGACCCCAAGACCCTGACTTCCAAAACCCTCAACCCAAGACCCTGAGACTTGACTTCAGACCGCAGTTCCGGGGCCTGACGCCAGAGACCTTGGACCTCAAATTCCACCTCCCAGCTCTGATACCCCAGACTTGAGACCCCAGCCCTCAACCATGAGTCCTTGAGCTTGATCCCGGAGACCCCACATCTAAGATCCTGGGCCTGACCCCAGAATTGAGTGCATAGATCCCAGACCCTGAACTCTGTCCCTAAAACCCCAGCTCCGAGATTCCAGGTCTGACATGGTGGAGACTCCCCAGCCGGCACCCTCACCTGGCGTCAGGACCCCAGCCCTGGCTCTGAGGACCTCTCCCAAAGCCCCTGAACTTGGCACTGGAAGTCTTGCCTCAAAAACCCACCTTTTGGCTCCAGCCTCAATTTTCTGAACCCAGCATCCTGAAGAACTCCCTACCCAGACACCCCACCACACAGGCCATTGACACTCTGGAAATATGCAGCCCGGACCCCTTAGTTCAGTAGAGGCTGGTCCAGACACCCCTTCTCTGGACCCCCACTGCACCCCTGGCCTGTTGCTAACCAACCCTCTGTCCTCTCCTGACAGATGTCCCGCCTGGCCCTGCCCCAGGCACCCCCAGAGCCACCGGCTCCCCCTCTGGCGCCCCCATCCTCAGCCTGGGGAGGCATCCGGGCAGCCCACGCCATTCTCGGGGGACTGCACCTGACGCTCGACTGGGCAGTGAGGGGCTTGCTGCTGCTGAAGACTCGGCTGTGACCTGCCACCCAGAGCCACCAGCATCCTTTGACGCCAGATCTTATTTATTTATTTATTTCAGGACTGGGGGCATGGCAGCCAGAGGATCCCCCCCATTACCTCCCCCTAGTTAGAGATGGTTCAGGAGACCTGGGCAGGGAGGGGGGGCATCTGTGCCTTATTTATACTTATTTATTTAAGAGGGTGGGTGGGAAGCAGGTGGATTCAGGGGTCCCCAAGGATGAGGGAACTGAGGTCCTGGGTTCTTGGGTCTCTAAGAAGTCTGGCCACCGTGTCTCCCTGGCGCCCACCCCTCTTGGCCTGGGCAGGAGCATATATTATTTATTAAACAATTACTTTTCGTGTTGGGGTGGGGAGGGAGGGGAAAAGGAGGCCTGGGTTTTGGTACAAAAATGTGAGAAACCCTTGTGAGACGGAGAAGAAGGAATTAAATTTGTCATACATATCCACTTCGAGGTGATTTCTCTGAGGGCTGGGGACTGGAGGCTGGGGTTCCTAGGGCAGGGGGACATAGAGGCCCTGAGTGGGCACGGCAGTTCTCCCAGCGACCGTGGGCTCTGAGGGGCAGGGTCTCAGCCTCACCTGCTGCCCAGCACCTCATAGGCATTCAATAAATACTGAATGGAAGGTTCCAGAAGGTCACCCTGTGACCGACAGTCGTCATACAGGACAAAGCTGCAAGCTCAAGATTGTTCATTATGGCAGTGTTCACAACAGCAGATCGGAAACCAGCTAGATGTCCAACGGTGGGGGATGGTTAAATAAATTACAGCGCCTCCGTGTGCTGGAATACCAGCGCTACAAACCACCGCGAGATCCCCATTTTGTGTTTCTCTGTCTCTGTCTGTCTGTCTCTCTCTATGTGGATTTTTAAAACCTTCTAGAAGGAAATACACCAAAATGTTGACAATGGCCACCTCAGGGTGGAAGACAGGAGGTGGGATTGTGGGTGATTTTATTATTGGTGTTTGTCTGTATTTTCCAGAATTTCTACAGAGACCCTGTATTTTACATGACACATATTAAAAAAACAATAAACACTATTTTTAGAATGACAGAATACCAGCTGCCTGCCCCCCCTCCCAAAAGCAGCCCTCAGAAGGGGACAAGAATGACCGTTCATTGAGCACCTCCTCTGGGCTGTGCCCTAAGTGTGGAGTTTTCCTTACATTGCCCTCTGGATCCTCTGATACGCCTCACTTTACAGGTGAGGGAAACTGAGGCTGGGGGGGTGCCTGTTGTTCAAGGTCCCACATCTAGGGAGAAACAGAACTGGGATTCTGCCAAAGGTTTGGCTCATTCCAAAGCGCGTCTCTTTCTTTATAACTCAATGTAGAGCGAAAGTTGCCAGGGACACAAGCTCATTATACACGGGGAAACTGGGGCTCCATAGGGGTATGGGTCTTACCCAGGGTCTAGAGAAGGGTCAGTGGTGAGTTGGGGCTTTACTGGGTCCTCCCCTGTAGAGAGTCCTTTTGGTTCATCATCCATTTACAACATTCCAGAGAGACCCTCCCGGGGTCCCCTGTTGTCACCAGTTTGGGTCTGGAGTTGGGGGTTCTGATTCACCCACCCCAGCTCTCAAGACTCCAGGCCACATGCCTGGAGGAGAAGGGAGCCCACAGCCCCAGGGAGTTCCCAGGATGAGTCCCACCTGTGTCCGATGAGGTCACAAAGCCCCTCCACGGATGGCTCCTCCCCCAGGCCAGGGCTGACCACTCCAGCAGGGCCATGACCAAGCCCCGGGGAAGCTCCACCCTCAGGAATTGTTGAGCTCCTGCCACCTGTGAAGCCCAAGGGGCCAAGGCCGGTGGGCTGGGGGGCCCCCGGGAGGCTGGGTCCCTGACTCCACATCCCCCGGTGATCCCCCATTTCTGCAGCCGCCATGAACCGGCTTTGGAACATCAGGCGCATGGAGCCATTCCAGGGTCCTGCAAAGTGGGTGCCCACTCTGGGCGAGCTGCAGAAGACCCTCCAGAAGGGCGAGTACATGCCCCTCCGCCCGCTGCCCATGTTCGAGAGTAACTTTGTCCAGGTCCCCAGCTCCCTGTGCCCTGGGGGCAGAGAGGGGCGGGCTGGGTGGGGGGGAGGAGGCAGAGCTGCGGGGCTAGGGAATTGGAGCCCAGGTGGACACAAGGCAGCTGGGGGACTTGCGGGGGAGGCTCAGGCTGGGGGTGCCGGAGGAGTCTTGGAGAAAGGCGTGGTCCCAGCCTCTCTCCCTGGACCCCCAGGTGACCAGTCGAGGGGCCCCCGCGTACGTGCACCACAGAGCCAACCTCCTGACCATGGGTGTGGCCGCCTCCCTGCCAGGCCTGCTGTTGCCAGACCTCCTGCTGATCGCTCAGCCCCCCGAGGGCAGAGAGTGCTCCAACCTCGTCCTCACCAGGTGCCAACATCCTCCCATCCCCAGCTGCCCCGCCCCCGTCTCCTGCTCTACCAGCTCCATCTCCCACCCCCCCCAGGATGATCCCGCTGGACCTGGTGCACATCTACATCCACGACCTGTCCGCCTGGCGCCTGAAGCTGCGCCTGGTCACAGGCCGCTACTACTACCTGGAGCTGAACGCCCCTGACAAGGAGGTGGGATTCCTGTTTGACCGCTGGATTCGCCTCATCCACCTGCTCCGGGGGCCTGCCACCACCTGGGCCCCTAGGCCCCTGCACGTGCCCCCCACGGACCTGGCCCATGCTGCACCTCCCGCCTCCACCTGGCGCCTCCAGGTGGGGCCCTGACCCCACAGCCAGGGTGTGGCTATGGTTCTAGATTCCAGAGGGAGCCAGGACCAAGAGCCTGAAGTCCAGGGTCCCCAGGAGTTGGGCTGGGGGCCTGGACCCCTGGGTCTGAGGGAGGAGGGGCTGGGGGCCTGGACCCCTGAGTCTGAAAGGAGGAGGGGCTGGGGGCCTGGACTCCTGGGTCTGGGGGAGGAGGGGCTGGGGGCCTGGACCCCTGGGGTCTGAGGGAGGAGGGGTTGGGGGCCTGGACTCCCAGGCTAGGTAGATCATGGAGATGCAGAAACCAGGAAGAGGTCACCCCTCCTGACTTCCTCTCCTGTCCACAGGACGAGCCCTACAGCAAACGTTTAGGTGAGCAGGCCCTGGCATCCATCAGATCCTTCTGTGCACCTCAGGTTCTCCTCAGCGCTTCTGGCACTTAAGCCACCAACGCTCCCCAACCCCCTGCCCCTGGCTGAGCCCTCCACAAGTCTCTTCTCCACCTCTCCATCGGGGCCCCTGACTCAGGTCTCCCCTCTCTTTCCAGTCACGATTGTCGAGCCTGCCTTTCCTTACAAGACGCTGACGTCTCAGAGACAGAAGAAGGCCAAGGTGAGCAGCCAGCAGCCTGCTGAGCTGGGTGGGGGTGGAGGGGCAGGGGGGTTGTGCCTCCTGATGGCCCTCTCTCCCTTGTCCCTCTGCCAGGCCCTCAAGCGCAAATTCAAGTCTCAGGCTGTGGGTGACTCCGTGCCTCTCATCTGGTCACAGCTAGAGCATGCTGACACTAGAAAGAAATCCACAGAAAAAAGGTAGGCTCAGGGCCTTGTCAGCAGTGGAGGGCGGGAGAAAGATGGGGACTCTGGTGCTGATGCTGCTGAAATCCCACCATACTGCACCTACAGGTCCCAACCAGCTATCTGTGGTGACAGAGCTCACACAGAAATTCAAGTTTCTGGTAAGCACACCCCTCTCTCTGCCTCCTTGTACGGACCCCCAAGCTCTGGCCCTTCCCCTGAGGGAAGACTGCTTTCTCCCCACCCAGAGAAGCCCAGCATCACCATCCGGACCATCTTCAGCATCATTTCCGACTCCGTCAACCACACGCAGTCCTCTTCCAAGGCAGCTATATACCGGGGGGCCCAACTCTTGGATGAGGGAGGAGGCGCTGGAGGCCTGGACCCCTGGGTCTGAGGGAGGCGGGGCTGGATCCTGGGTCCAGTCTGGGAGTCTCTCCTGGCCCTGACCTTCCTTCCCTTACCCTCTGTCCACCTACAGGGCTGCTCGCCTGCTTCTGATGCGGCCATGGTCCTGGGAGGTTTAGTTGAGACCCCTTCGCACTGTATCTCAGCGGATAGCCCTGATATTTCCCTGCTGGGTTCCTATGACCACTTGGATGTCCTGTGGAAGCAGGGCATCGATGCCCTGATGGACCCTGAATCCAGCACCTTGTCCTCTTCCTCCCTTTGCCCAGCCGTCTACCCTCCTGCCTTCTACCTCTCTGCTCCCTACTCTTCCTTCCCCAGGCACAATGAAAAGGCCAGGCCTCCAGGCACCATGCAGAGGCTGTGGCCTCCGTCCTCCCAGAAGACACCATCGGTCCCTGCCACATCTTGGAAGGCTCCGTTCATCCTTGACCAGTCCCAGAAGGTTTCGGCAGTACATGCTCCACTCCAAAAGATCTCAACTCTACCTGGCCCACCCCGCAAGGCCCCAGCTTTACCTGCTGCTCCCCAGAAGGGCCCAGCTGCACCTGCTGCTCCCCAGAAGGGCCCAGCTGCACCTGCTGCTCCCCAGAAGGCTCCAGTTGTACCTGCTGCTCCCCAGAAGGCTCCAGTTGTACCTGCTGCTCCCCAGAAGGCCCCAGCTGCACCTGCTGCTCCCCAGAAGGCCCCACCTGCACCTGCTGCTCCCCAGAAGGCCCCAGCTGCACCTGCTGCTCCCCAGAAGGCCCCACCTGCACCTGCTGCTCCCCAGAAGGCTCCAGTTGTACCTGCTGCTCCCCAGAAGGCCCCAGCTGCACCTGCTGCTCCTCACAAGGCACCAGCTGTACCTGCTGCTCCCCAGAAGGCTCCAGCTGCACCTGCTGCTCCCCAGAAGGCACCAGCCATACCCGCTCCATCTTGGAAGGCCCCTCCTTTATCAGCTATTCCCCAGAAGGCCCCAGTCATCCCTGCTCCATCTCGGAAGGCCCCACCTGCACTTTCTGTTCCCCCGAAGGCTGTGCCCCACGCTGTCCCAAATAGGAAATCTCTGTTCCAACCTACTCCATCGCAGAAGGCTCGGACCCCACCTACCCAATACCAGATGCCTTTGGACCCTGCCAATTTGGGTATGATGCCCATGGGAAGTGATGGAAGGGATGTGCTTGCGAAAGGCAAGCATGAAGGGAAGCCGGAACCAGTGGTGTTGGTGGGCACCCAGGAGACAAACGTGGTAGAGTTGAAGACCCAGAAGATATCCATGGAACTGCCCTTCACCACCACCAAGAAGAAGTCGGAGGAGGTCCTGATCAGCAAAGCCCAGGAGATCACCCTGGATGGCTTGAAAGGCAAGGGCAAGTTGGAAGACAAGGTCCATAGGAAGAAGGAGGAGATATTCCTGGACATGCCAGGCCTCAAATCTAAGGAGGTGGGGCAACAGAAGAAGTGGGTCAAGACCAAGGAGGTGGCCATCGAGGGAGCCCCAGAGGAGCACAGCAGGCCTTTCCCAGTGGAGGGGCTCGCCCTTGCCAAGATGATGATCATGGCCAGCTCCAAGGAGGCTCCCTTGACACCGGCTGCTACTGTTGGTCTGCCCTCCTGGCTGCCGACCCCCCAGGTGTCTGCCATGTCAACGATGGACACAGCGGCCCTCAGCAACAGCCAGGTGTCTTTGCCAGAGGGGACACCGGTGGCAGTCAAGGAGCCACCCCAGTTGGGCCCCTGGGCAAAAAGGAGCACGCGTCTGTGGGTGGAGGAGAACACACGTCCTTGGGCAAAGGGGAGCACACCTCCAGGGGCAAAGAGGAGCGCGCCTCCAGGGACAAAGCAGAGCGCGAGGCCGTGGACGGAGGTGCAGGCAGAGGCGCAGGCACAGGACCTGCCTCAGGACCCAAGGGGGCCCTCCAAAGTGCCCCCACGCTCCAAGCATGCCTCTTTCAGCCGGAAGTTGGACCCTGTCTCCCAGGCTCCCATCCCTCTACCCTCATCAAGGTGGGAGGACATACCCCAGTCGCCCATCTCACTGAGCCCCATCTCAAAGATGGAAGCCAGGGTGTCCCAACAGCCCAAGGGAGTATCTCAAGAGCCCACAAGGATGCCGTACCAGTGCCCAGTGGCCAAGACTGCGTTGTTCTCAGAGATTCTGTTGCCCACGCTCTTGGAACTTGAGAATATGAGGGACACGGCCACTAAGGTGGAGAAGATAAAGGAGGAACAGGAAGCCTTCAATCCTTCGCCCAGGTATTTGGGGTGACAGCTAATGTGTACAGTCAACTCTCTTATCTGCGAGGTAGGGAGGATCATTCCATCTTTTTTCACTTTTGTTCATGCAGTCATTATATTGTGAGTGTCGACTATGTGCTGGGCATCGTTCTAGGCACTAGGGAGATAGCATGGAGCAATTTGGGGGGTACATGCTCCTGGCATCTGGGGAACATAATCCAGGGATTCGGGTCAACATCCCACAGTGCTCAAGACGGTCCCCCATGGTGAAGAATGATCCCACAGAAAATATCAGCAGGGCAGACCATTGGGAACACCAACAAATAAAAGCCAAGTTATTTGTATCGTATGTTAGTTAGAAGGTGACGGTTCTGTGGGAAAACAGCAGGGTAGGGGGATTCGGATTGGGAGTAGGAAGCCTCCAATATTGGATTCGGTGGTCCAGGAGGGCCTCAGTGAGCTGGTGTCATTTATGTAAAGACCTGAAAGAGAAGGAGGAAGCCACGTGGACATCTGGGGTAAATGTGTCCCCTGCAGAGGGAACAGCCACCTCAAAGGCCCTGAGGTAGGAGTGTGCATGATGTGCTGGATCAAGAGTGACCTCCTGGGGACCCTGGAGTGGGAAATGCAGTAAGAGGAGTCACAGGGGTGGTGGCCAGCACGTGGGACCTTGCAGGTCATTTTCAGGACTTTGGCTTTGATGCTGAGTGAGCTGGAGGGTCCTGAGCAGAACGGCTGGAACTGACATATGTTGGAAAGGGCTGTCTCTGGCTGAAGCATAGAGAAGGTAGCGGGGGCAGGGGAGAATGGAGTCCGGGAGATGAGGAGGAGGCCATTGAAACAGCCAGGCATGGTGGGATATGGTGGCTTGGACAAGAGGGCACTGACGGAGGTGTTGAGAAGCAGTGGGGTTCTGGAGATACTGTGATGACTGAACTAACAGATCAGCTCATGGATTGGGCATGTCGGTGTGGCATCAAGGGTGATGTGAGGTTTGGGGTCCTAGGCCCTGGGAAGATGCAGCAGCCATCGGGAGCAGTCAGGGGGGCTGTGAGTGGGGTAGGTGTCGGCAGGAAGATGAGGAATTCTGTTTGGACGTCTTGATTCTGAGATGTCTGGTGAAGATGCAGGGCAGGCAGCCAGCTACGTGAGTCTGTAGTGATCTGGGGAATCATCGGCATGTGGACAGTTACCACAAGCTGTGAGACTGGAGGAGGTCACCAGCGAACCAGTGTAGACAGAGACAAGAGTCCACGGTGTTTAGAAAAAGAGGAACCATAGGTAGAGAGAGAGAGGGCAGAACAGCGAGAGACGGGGGCATCCTGAATGCCAAGTGAAGAAGGCAGCCAAGCGAAGGAGCAGCCGTGTCAAATGCTGCAGTCACCTGAAGGAAGACAGGACTGAGACTGGACCTCTGCATGTCTCAGCACGGGCGTGATGCGCTGGGGACAAAGACCTGAGGCGGGCAGGCTGAAAGGAGCACAGAAGGCAGGGAGTCCCTGTGCTGTAATCCTTGACAACCTGATGCTCAGTGAAAGGAGCCAGACACAGAAGGACACATGGAGTATGATTCCGTTTGTATGAAATGTCCAGAATAGGCAAATTTGAAGAGACAGGAAGCAGACTGGTGCTTGCCAGGGGTTGGGGGGCATGGGGGAGTGGGGAGCGACTGCTTAATGGGTATGGAGTTTCCTTCGGGGATGATGAAAACTAGAACTAGATAGAGGTGGTGGCTGCACAACGTTATGAATGTACTTAATGCCGCTGAATTGTATGCTTTGAATGGTTACAAGGGGAAATTTTGTGTGATGTGTATTTTCCCACTACATACACACACATCTATGTAAAGAGGAGAATGGGAGAGGAGTGAACCAGCTCTTTCCATGTAGTTTGCTGGAAGGGGAGGAGGGACATGCAGAGGTAACAGGTGTAGGAAGTGGGCACAAGAGAGGAGCTTAAGAGGAAAGATATGAGTTCGCTTGGATGTTGTTGGTGTGAAGCCTCCAGAACCAGGCTTGACAATAAGGAGGCAGGAGGGAGAGAAACCTAGGAGGGGCACCAGGGGGACTGGAGGAGGCAGGCGGGGCCCCGGATTCCAGGCCAGGTTTGCCGGCTCCTTCATTCAGCACGTTTGTGTTCCTGAGCGCTCACGACTCTCTCCCTGCCGGACCCCAAAGCCCTCTCTGGCTTTCTCTCTCCAGCACGCAGTTTTCAGCGCCTTGAACAGCGGGATGCGGGGGACTCAACCTCGGTCGCCAAAACGTCAGAGGAGCCCAGCGTGGCAGGTAGCCCCTGAGACCCCGCAGGCCCGCCTGAGACGTGGCACTGGAGTCCAGCAGCCCGGACGCCACTCTCGCTCTTTCCTCTGCCCCACAGGCCAGGTGCTGTGCGCCTCCGCCGTAAGAAGCAGGACCTGAGAAAGCCGGGAGGGGGGGATGCTCCCTCTCTGGTAGAGACTAGAGCTAGCTATACATTTATATATTGGGGGGGCGGGGGGTCGCCCAGCTTCGCAGAGATTAAAAGCCTGAGTCTGAGACTCGCCAAAAGTCGCGTCTGGGTACGTGTGTGCACCGAACCCCGAGGAGGGGCGTCGAGCAGGAGGGGGAAGGCAGGAGGGTGGGGGTGGTCCACACCGACCCCGCCCCGCGACCCAGAGCGTGCCCTGCAGCGCCGCGCTCCCATTGGCTGGGGTTCCGGAGGCCCCAGCCAATCCGGACGGGGGTCGCGATCTTTGTGAGCTGCGACCCCCCAGACCCAGAAGCGAGGGGCGAGGCGCCCCCACTGCCGACCCGGTGCCGCGCTGACGCCAGCCTGGTGCGGGCAGGACGGCTGGGAACGAGGCCGGGTTTGGGGTGGGGGTCAAGAACTGGGTGCGGGTCAGAGCGAGGGGCGCCCCCTCGGCCCACGGAGCCCCCTTCGTCCCCGCAGGAGTTGCCGCTTCCGTGGATGTGGGATATTGATTCCCAGAAGCCCCCCAAGGGGAGATGGTCAACGCCGCCCTTCGACCCGCGCTTCCCCAACCAGAACCAGACCCGCAACTGCTACCAGAACTTCCTGGGTGAGGCCTGGAGGGCCCGGTTAAGGGGAGCAGCGGGGAGACGAGCGGAGGTCGGAAGGGGCGCGCCCCACCTGAGGAGGGAGAGGGTCCTGGATCCGCCGTGGGGGCGGAGACCGTTGGGCCGGGAGGCGGAGCGGGCCACGGTCGAGAGGGGCGGGGCTATAAGGAGGGGCGTGGCTTTCTAAGGAGTAGGCGGGGCCGAGTCGTGGGGCCTTGTAGGGAGGGGCGGGACCGACAGTGGAGGGGCGGGGCCTTATTTGGAGGGGCGGGGCTTGCGGCGCGACCCCGCCCACCCACCCCGCAGATTACCACCGCTGCGTCAAGAATATGAACCGCCGCGGGAAGAGCACGCAGCCCTGCGAGTATTACTTCCGTGTGTTCCACTCGCTGTGCCCCATGAGCTGGGTGAGTGGGCAGGAGGGGGCGCGGGCTGGCCGGGCCGGGCGAGGGTGGAGGGCGCAGCTGAGCCGAGCCGACCCCTCCTCCCTTCCTCCCGCCCCCTCCCCAGGTGCAGCGCTGGACCGAGCAGATCAAGGCGGGGACCTTCGCAGGCAAAATTTGACGGGCTGAACGCGGCTCTTCCGAGGGCTCAGCCCCAGGGACACCCCTCTCCCCCCATCCTCTCGTCTTCCGGAGACCCGGCCCCGGCTACCCACCACCCAGTCCCTAAGCCTCAAATAAATCTGTTGTTGCTGTTGTTTCTTCTTAATGTCTTGCCAGTGAGGCGTGGGGACACGGAGGGGTGGGGGAGGACTGTACTCCATCAGGGCTGGGATGGAGGGAGGACAGATCTCTAGGGTCGGAGCAAGCCCCGCCCTTCCTGCCCCTCCCCAGCCCCTCCAGCAGGCAGCAGCCACCAGCCCAGGGTCCCTTTTGGCTCTCCAGGTCCCAACACTTGCCCACCAGCATGGCTCTAGGATGCTCCTGCTGTCAACGCCACACCTACTTATCACCTAAGTCCTCCCTCCTCCCTTTGGATCCTCTTCCCCTCCTGGACCACCTCCTCAGCCTCCTCCTGGGCTTCCTACCCAGTCCATCCCAAGTCCTGAGGGGTCTTTATCATAACACCCGGTGCTGACCCCATCTCTCTGTCCCCTTTCCTGGCTCTCCACCACTCTCTGTCACTCCCCTGCCCCTGACTCCATTCTCCTCCCAGTACGTCAGTCTCCATCCTGTGACCCCCTCCCAATAGGGTCTTCTGCTCTCCTCGCCTCTGTGCCTCTGTGCTTTCGACAGGCACTCTGTCCACAGCCACAAGCAGCCTTCTCCTCCATTCTCTAATGAAACGGGGCCAGCCCCTCCCCAGACACGTCACTTCAGTTTCTCCGGCCAACCCCTTCCTGACTGTGAGCTCCTCCAGGATGCTCAGAGCTCCCACTGGAATTATTCTTTGCTCCTGCCTCTATCCGGGCGCTGGGCCTGCCCTCAGCCAGGCTCTGAGGCCACAATGCTGAGAGTCCTTCTGATTCCACACGCCCTTCGAAAAGTCACCTCTCCAGCCACGTCCACATCTCCTGGCCCCCCAGGCAGAGGAGTGACCTTGACAGAGTGCAGAGCCCCAGGGGGCTAGCCTGGTCCTGCCCCAGATGGGCATGAGACCTTGGCCTGAGGAGGAGTGCATTCCACTGTTTCTGCCTGAAGCTGTCGGTCTCCTGGGGCAGCCTAGATCCCCAAACTCTGCCGGAAATGGTCTCATGTGGCCCCATTCAACACCGGGGTTCAAAGGTGGCTATTACTAATCATGACAACTTGCTGGGTGACCCTGGACAAGCCCTTGACCTGCGTGCACCTCAGTTTCCTCAGCTATAAATTGACATGGCGCAGAGTCCTGTTATCAGGAGAGGCTGGATGACGGGAGCTGCTGGGTGAGCTCAGGGGAGGACCAGCTCCCTCTTGCTCCACCCAGCCCCTCCATGCTGCCGTCATCACCCCACCAGGGGCACACCCCAGATGTGCCATCTCCCGGGATGGCTGCACCCCGAAACCGTGCTCCCCGGCTCCCTCTCTCAGACCACAACCTGAGAGGCAGGGGGGTGAGTGAGGGCGCGGGGTGTTTTTTCACCCAGACAGACCTGGAAGGTGGTTCACGGGCCTCTCTGGAGCCTGGTCTGTGCACAGGTGCTTCTGCTGCAGGAAGGAAGGAAAGTTGTGGTGGCATGTGGGCAAGGCAGCTCTCTGAGTCACAGAAGGGGGCTGACGGCTATCTCAGCACTTGGTGAGGTCAGCCAGGTAGCGTCCGAGCACAGGGCCCGATACCTGTGCTGCTGCAGCCAGCCCCTTGACCTCACCAGGGCGCCAGTGCCTGGCGTGCACCTTGCCCTGTTGGCCAGCAGTGCCTCTCAGTCTTCTACCTTCTTTCCCTCTTGGGCCGCGATCCTTCCTGCCAACATCCCTTGACCACTTCCAGAACATTCTTACACTCCTGGCCTCCCTTGCGGCCACAACTGCCCTAGGGATGCCTGAGCCAGGGGCTGGGCCAGACCTGCCTCACCTCCAGCAGGCTGGACCAACACCACTGCAAACTCCCTGGCCCCAAAGTCTGGCTTCTTGGCCAGCTTGGCGTGCCAGTGTCCTGAAATTCTCACTGCCAGCCTCACTATCCCGCAGCAGCCTCCCAGGTCAGGAAACTAAGGCTACTCCACTTGTTCTCACCCCTCCCCGCAACCTGCATCCCTGCTCTCCCTCCTTCCTCCCCTCCTTGCGCTCCTCCAGCCCCAGCCCCTCCACCTCAATGCGTCTCTTAGCCTCTTCCCCTTCCTCTGCAGCCCTCCCTCAGAACCAGCTCCTTCCTCCCCGTCTACAGACAGGCTCAGGTGCTTCCAGGTGCTTCCCAGTCAGAATCACAAAACTGCTCCACTGCCCTTCGCCCTTTGCTCCCTGAACCCTGGAGGCACTGCTCTCCCTCTCCTCCCCTCCCCCTCACCATCCCATGGAAGCCACAGCAGACCAGCTCGCTGTCCCTTGGTTCCCAGTGGGTGCAGCTCCAGCCTCCTCTCTCTGGCATCTGCCTCTTTCCCATCCTGAAGATCTCAGAGCCTAGCTGAGCTCTGAGAACGGGTTCGAGTCCTGGCCCTGCAGTTCACCAACCTTGCGGCCCCAAACTCCCTCAGCCCTCTGCACCGTGGTCCTTTCATCTAAAACACAGTGATAATACCTACACTTCACTGGGCTGTGGGGACAAGGATGCTGGGAATTACAAGCTGAACAGTATCCAGGCTGGCTGTTCTCAGGGTGTGTGGGGTCTCGGTCTCTATAAACAATTTGAGAAATTCAGAATCAGTGTAAGGGCCCAATTCTGGTGCCTAATACCGCACTGGACAGTGGGAGTGACCAACGGCCAGCTGCCCTCCTGGATCAGCAGCCCCAGGATGACCGACCCTGTCAACAGGGACCCGGAACTCCTGGAAGCACCTGGTTGACTCTGTGCACAGTGTAAAGGGGTCAGAGAGTGCCCCAAGGGGAGAAATGGGGTCCAGGTTCTGGAGGGCAGCCCTGGCTCTGCTGCTGGCCTAGCCACCACAGAGGAACAGAGACGGCTGTGGGGAAGGTGCGGGAGCAGGGGCTCCCGAGGCTCAGGCCCCGACCCGTGGGCTATAGTGATTTCCTCTTTCTTTCAGCTCCCTCCTTCCTTCGCCTCCCAGCCACCTTCCCTGTTTCCTTGCTCTGGCCCCACATGTATGGGGTTCTCAGGCCCTGCTGACCCTCAGACACACCCCTCTCCTTGAGCCACCAAGGTGAGCTCATGATGCCAAGCCCCACCTGCTGGCCCCAGGTCCTGCCAGCTCACTGGACCCAACACCTTCTCCTTGTACTTCCCTATCGTCTTAGGGCTCCATCTAGCCAGGAGTAGGCCCTACCCCTGCACCAGCCAGGTGACCTGGGGCAGCCACACCTACCTCCTCCGGGGCTGTTGCTAACGGGGGAATCCTTGTAGCATTGTCACGCAGATTAACGCCAGGATGCACATGCAGTTGGTGCCTGCTGTAATTATTGTCCTGGAGGCCTTCCCTCCCTGTCATCCTGTCACTCTGGCCCAGTGGTCTCAACCGGGGGCTGGCTGTGGCCCCCAGGGGGATATGTGGCAATGCCCAGAGACATTTTTGTCACAATCGAGGGGGTGCCCACAATCTGGTGGGCGGAGGCCGGGGAGGCTGCTCCTCTTCCCACAGTGCAGAACCGGCTGGCTCGGGACGGGAGCGGGGCCGGGGGCAGGAGACCATACCCACCGGGTTCTAGTCTTTGTGTTTTGAGTTCCAGACACTTTTGAGAGTTGGACGAAGACCCTAAACCCTCTCCCTGCAGAACGTCATGTGAACGCGCAGTTACTCCACTGAAAACAGGCTTTCAGGAGACTCTTGGACCTCCCAGGTCTATCCAGGCTAAGCATCCTCGCTCTGCTGTCATCTTTGTCTAGAAGCCCTGGTGACAGCAACTGACTCTCAGCTCATTTAGAGGGACGAGTTCTTTAGTGCACGCATGTCACCATCACTTCATTCTCCTCTCACAGCCCACTGACAGGGGTTTTTTTTCTTATTTTCTTTTTCTTATTTTTTTGTTTTTTCTTATTTTTAAAGATTAGCACCTAAGCTAACATCTGTTGCCAATCTTCTTTTTCTTTTCTTCTTGTCCCCAAAGCCCCCCAGTACATAGTTGTGTATTTTAGTTGTGGGTCCTTCTAGTTGAGGCATGTGGGATGCCTCCTCAGCGTGGCCTGATGAGCGGTGCCATGTCCGTGCCCAGGATCCGAACCAGTGAAACCCTGGGCCACCAAAGCGGAGTACACGAACTTAACCACTCGGCCACGGGGTCAGCCCCCTGCCCTCCTTATTTTTAACATTAGAGGAGACCAACGGGGTTCAGTAGGATTTGCAGGGCAGACAGACACATTTTCTCATTGCAGAAAGGAACGAAACAGGCTGAATGTGAACAAAACAAATTCTAAAGTAAAAAACCTTACCTGCTCTGAACGGTCCCCATGCCCATCCCCAGGCTGGCTGTGGAAGTACCTGTTCCTGGGCCATCCCCTGAGCCCACTGGGTCTCCTGTTGCCGCTCCCTGCCTGTTCACTGCCTCTCCTCAGGGCCCCAGGTCCCTCCTGCACAGGGCCTCGCCAAGCCCCCGGGTAACCTTTTCCAAGGCCAGCCAACACGGAGGAGATAAACTGGGGCCTGCAGCCCTCACTGGAGCCTCAGAAGTTTGTGGCCTGACAGCATGAAATGGCCTGGAGGCCTCCATGAATGAGAAAAAATGTCCACGAGACGCTTGGCGAGGCACCTGGTACCAGGAAGCACTCACTGTTAGCGGTTAGCACAATGGGGGCTTGTGGGTTGAGGTGAGAATTAAGAGGCGATGGCAAAATCAAGACACTGAACTGGATCTGAAGAAATTAGAGAAGATTCATCATCCTGGTCTCACAGAACCAGGCCAACTGACACGACACAGATGAGGATGACTTGCCAGACTGGTGCCAGAAAGCCAATGGTACCCGCCACAGCTTGGGCAGCCCCCATGCCTTCCAGGAGCTGTCCTGCCTACCTCTCCCCTCCTGGCTGAGCTGTAGGAGGGACGTCTGACTTCAGAGAAGGGCCATGGAGCCCTGTGTGACCTTGGGCAAGTCACTCTGCTTGCTGGACCTGTCATGTGAAAACCAGGGAGAATCCCCCGCCACACGACAGGACAGGTTGGAAAGCTCGGTGACATGACTCTTGCCTCTGCACTCTGCCATCCTGTCTGTTGCCCCTTTACCTTCCCAAAGCTCTTAGGGCCCAAAGCCTGGGCCGCCTCCCCTGGGTCTGGTCTCCCCAGCAAGGTTGAGGGGCTCAGCCTCCTGACTGACATCCCCTCAAAACATAAATCAAACTGAAAAGCTCCCAAGGGTGCTGCTTATAACAAGGTTTTAATAAAATAAAATAAAAAGTTCAAGTGCTTCCAATCCCCCAACATACCCAGCTCTGGTGTGGGAAGGGGAGGGGCCCCCACACCCCAGTAGCACCAGGGATAGCACCATGAGAAAGATGAGGTCGCACCCGGCCTCCCTGAGACCCACAGGGGTGTCAGGAGGACATGCCCCCGGACACCCCCCACCGCGCCCCCACCTCAGACAGTTGCAGAGCTGACAGCAAATTCACTCCCCTCGTGGGGCAGTCTCTAGGGAATGCCACCCACCAGGTCCACCTCCTCCAAGGCCGGGGCTTCTGGGGAGATGCCATGGGATGGCCCCCACCCCTTATGGCTTTGCTCCCTGGGCAGGAGAAGGTGGGTGGGGAAGGGAACGGCTCCTTCAGTCCTGAGGCTGGGGCTGGGGTGGGAGGGCAGCAATGGCCAGGGCTCCCTGCCAGGTGGGGGCGGCTCAGGGGTCAGCAGTCACCAAGGGTCAGGGGTCAGATCCCTGCAAGTGTCCAAACCAACCCTGCCCCCAGTTCAGAGCTGTGCTGGGGTCACGAGTCAGCTCTCTCCTAGAGGTCCAACAACTCCTTCTGGAGGTGAGTCCCCAGGAGCTCGGGGCCAGGGGGACTAAGAGGAACCCCCACCTCTCCCAGCCCAGACGTCCCTGTCCAGCCCATCATGGCCTGTCACCATTGACATCCAGGTTGATGGAGCCGTGGCTGACCACCAGCCGCAGGCGCTTGGGTGGGGAGAAGGGAGCGAAGGCAAGGGCTTGCTTGGGGATGGGGCCGGAGCCGGGGCTGGGGCCTGGGGTCCTGACAGGGGCGGGGACAGTAGTGGCAGGTGGGGCCGGGGCCATGCGGCTCAGGTCCACGCGCGCCACATAAGGCAGCCCGTAGCGCCGGGCCCAGTGCCAGTCCTGCTGGGGGGCCCAACGGGCACGGGGGCCTTGGCCCAGGGCCACCAGGGCTTCCGCCCGGAGGCAACAGCGGGGGCCGCAGCCTCCCCACCGGTGCAGGGAGACACGGGCAGTGCGGAGAACAGGGGGTGCCAGGGCCCGCCGGGGCTGGGGGCGTCGGCGCCTCCGGGGGCGCACTCGGAGCTGTGGCTGAGGCAGCCACTGGAGCCAGAGGGGCACGGCGTCCAGGCGGGAGCCGCAGGGCTGGGGGCGCAGGGGCTGACAGGCGGCTGTGGAGGAGCAAGGGGATGGCGTCAGCAGGGCCTCTGGAAAGGGGGACAGCTCGTCCTCAGGCCTTCCCTGCCCTCTTTAGTGGGGGACCGATGAAGAGAGCGGTGGTCAAGAAGGAGGCCCCGTGAGGGGGCTCGAGGGTGGGAGCACAGAGAAGGAGATGGGGATGGGGGAGCAGCTGACAGGATGGGGTCCCCGCCCTGTGCTCACCGCAGAAGGGGTCCCGGCGCAGCAGAGACAGGTGGGCGCAGGCGCGTGGGCCCAGCAGGCCCTGCCGGCCACTGCTGTCCAGGCCTTGCTGCAGCCGCCGCTTGGTCTCCCGGAGCTCGTACTTGTCCAGGGGTCGCGGAGGCACAGGCTCCCGGGGCCGCAGTCGGAAAGCTCCTTCGCCTTTCCTGGGGGTGGGAGGGAGACAGGAGGAACGAAGGAATTGGGCAAAGGAGGCATTTCCGGTTCCGGGACCCCAGACCCCTCCTCCCTCTCCCACCCCACACCTCTCGCAGGTGTAGCATTCACAGTGCTCATTCTTTTCACCAAAGAAGCCGTCACCGTAGAAGCAGGTCACCTCGTCCCCTGGCTCGATGTCCCGGAGCACCTTCACGCAGGCTGCATTCCCATCTGCGGGCACAAACTGGAGTCTTGGCAGCTTAGCGCCCTATCCTGGGGGCTGCATGGCTCCACCCCACCTAGCTGGGCATCCCCAGGAAGCGCCATTTGGAGGCAGCCTCCTGCTGTCTGCACAGCACGCACCCCCTGACACCTGCCCACTGGCTGGCTCCCACCCCTCCCCGCAGGACGATGACCTAACCCGACCCTGGCAGGGCGCAGCGACCGCTCCCTCCTGCACTCTAGCTCTGGCTTTTGCAGCCAAGTTCCACCCCCTCTGACACACCCTAATTAGCCCACCCCTCACTCCCTCTACCCTTGGGCCACCTCCCCTGCTTGGAGGCGCCTGTCCACTCAGCAGTCCCAGCCCAGGATCACGGCCCCACGGGCCCCTCACACCTGCCTGCTCCTGCTGCCGCATCTGTCTGGGAGGGGTGTGAACCCCACCCAGCTGGCTGCCCACTCTAGCCTGAGAGACCCTTGGGAGTGGCCCTCACTGCCTGGCCCCCAGACCCCAGGCCAACTGGCCAGCACCTCTCTAGTACGCAGCATCTTGCATCTTTGTCCTCTCCATCCCCAAGACCCTTTTGGGAGCCAGCGCATCTTCACCTCTCACTCATTAGCCGCCAGGTTTCACACCAGCCTCTTTGCGGCCGCCCTGCCTCCTGTCCTGCCCCTTCCTGCCAGCCTCCTGCGCCCCAGCTAACAGGGCCATCTAAAACCCCAGTCCCTGTCATTCACCTGGCGGGACCTTCTGTGGGGCAGACGCGAGCTCCCTCACGGAACCCGAGGCGGAGTCACAGGAGGCGGGAGTCCCGGTGCCTGTCCCGCCTCCTGGCCCTCCAGCCCCTCCAGCGCCACGTGCCCTGTCTGGAATGTCCTCCCATGCCCCTGTTTTCCTACAACACCTAGGAAAATCCTACTCCTCCTTCCACCCCTGGTTCTGGCGTCAGGCCTACGCGGCCTCCCAGTGCTGCACCGCCAGACGACTGGCTCCGGTGCCCTGAGACGGCTGGCACCCGCCCGGTCACAGCCTCTCCCGGAGCCCTGCCTGGCTTCTGACCCACCCAGTGTCTGCGTGCCGGGCCAGACCATGGCCGCACCTGATCCCCCCGAAACCCACGTAAGGGCTCTGCAGAGTCACAGAAACGCCGGTGGCACTGCGTACCTCATCTTCACAACCGCACAGGAGGCAAGTTCTCACCACCTCCTGAGACGAGAAACCAGGGCTGGGGGTGTGGACCCAAACCCAGCACTGACTCCAGGGTCTGAGCTCTGGACCCCCTTGTCACGCCTCAGGGCTCCCACAGAGAGCACCCAAGGCCTTCCCGGGGCTACCTCCCGTCCGGCCCTCAGCTCTCACGCGCTCCATGCTCCACCACACAGAACCAGCGGTGCACCTGCCGGCTCCTCCTCCACCTCGCTCCCTCTGCCTGGAAGCCCCGGCCCCCAGAGCCTCCTATCTGGTCCCCGCCCTCCAGGGCTCTCTCTGGCCGACCCCAGGTGGCATTAATAGGCAGGCTCCTGTCACTCAGCTCCTCTGCCTCCTGCTATCCCAGCTGTGAGGCCAGGGACCCTTTCTGTCTCCCCATCACCACTCCCCACTTGAACTGGCCGAGCCCCCAGCTCAAGTTCAGAGATGCAAGAACACCGCCACCAGGTGGCCACCTGGGTTCCAGTGTGACTCAAGCCAAAGCCCCTTCCTCCACAACCCCCCCCACCCCGCCCCCTACGGCTGCAGGCAAAAACACCCAAAACACCCTCTTCAGCGAAGGGGCAGCCAGGGTGAGAAAGTGCTTTGTCAGGTGTGGAGCCGCGGGACAGTTTCAGGCCATTCACTGACCAGAAGGCCCCTCCCCCAGGCCACCTCATCTCCCATGTGCCCACCCCAGGGGGGCCCCAGGTCTCACCTTGCAGTTGGGTTTGCAGTCTGGAGCCGGCCAGGGCAGGAAAGAGAAGAGACTGGGTGAGTCGGGGGAGAGGGCGGGGCTCCCCTCCCACAGCCCCATCCTGCCGCAGCCCCCACCGTGGTTGATGAAGGCGGCAGGGCCGAGCCACAGCTGGGCGCTGCGCTTGCGGGTCGAGTACATGATGCTGAAGTCGTTCTCGCCGGCCCTCAGCAGCCCCTCGTCGGCCTCCCGCAGCTCCGCGATGCAGCCCACCAGCAGCTCCAGCTTCTCATTCTTCTTCCTGCCAAGGGGCCAGGCCGAGGGTCTGTAAGCAGCACCTTTCCAACCACCTGAGCTGGGGATGGGGCCTCTGGTCCCAAAGGTACCTGGGCCTTCTGTGGGCCAGCACCCGCCACCGCAGTCCACCTCCGAAGTCTCTCTCAAGTCCACCCACCAGTGCCTCTACACCTGGCCAGCGGGCTTCCCTGCTCCAGCGCACGGAAGCAAGCCCTCAGCTCCTCCAGCCCCAACTCCCCCCTGCCCAGGCCTCCTGCAGCCCCGTCCTTGCCCCCTCGCCTCACCAGACCCTCCAGCTCATCCTTCAGATCCTAACTGAGGCCTGGCTCCCGAGAACACTCAAAATCCCCTAGCCAGCTCCTCAAGTGCTGAGCCACTGTCGTCAGCGCCTGTGTGTTCACCTGGCTACCACCTGCCTTCCCGCTACACTGAGGGGCTGGCAGGTCCATCTCATTCACTGTCCTGTCCCGTACCCAGCAGCGCCTGCTCACTGCAGGGGTCAGGTCGGGATGAAGACAAGACTGCAGGGTCAGGGGCACAGGGTCAGTCCTTCCCGGCAGCCCTGGGAACCCTATGGTCACATGGGGGCCTCATCCCCTAGCAGGGCTGCAGTGGGCGAGGGGGGTCTTTGGGGACAGGCCTGGACTCCTTCCTCTCTGCAGGAAACCTCTTGAACATTGGCATCTTCACAGCCTGGACGACACCAGAGGTTTCTCCCCTGTCCCCTCAGTGACCCCGCCCATCTCCTCCAGAAGAGATGGGGGTCTCCTCTCCCAGCAGCCCCTGGCGAGGGGGGCCTCACACCAGGCATGGGGCCCTGGGCTGCGAGTTCCGCCCTCTTACCAAGCTCGGGTAGACACGATCTTGGCTCCATTTTTCTCCATGGAATAGCGGGTACAGGGCAGGATGGTAAAGCCGCTTTCAGGCAGGAAGGCGCGGAGGTAGCGATAGATCTGGGGGAGGTGAGGGGTGGGCGGGGTGAGGAGGTGGGGTGGGGTCGTCCTCCGCCCTTTCTCTCCTGGGTTCTAGTCCTGCTCTGCCACTGACTCGCTGTGTGGTTTCAGGGAACTCACTTCCCCTCTGGGGCCTCAGCCTCCTCATCTGTCAAATGAAGAGGTTGGACTCCATCTCAGAGGGCCCCCCAACTCTCCTCTCCCAGGATTCTCTGAGCCTCGCCTCGGATGGTCCCAACAGCTAGGAAGTCAGGGAGTCCCAGGGGGCTGCGCTGAGGGGCACGGAGCCCAGGGCTCCAGAGTCTCCCCGACAGGGCAGAGGACCCGGGACAGGCCGAGGCAACGGGAGAACACGCGGGCGAGGGCGGGGAAGGAAGGGTGCCCTCACGTGGGTCTTGAGGGCAGCCTCCTGCCGTGGGCCCCGGCTCTGGAAGTAGTGGGCCATCCAGCCTCCCAGCGTCAGGGCCCGGTACGCAGCCTCCAGGTCCCGCTGCCTCAGGAAGGCCTCCAGCGCTGAGCGCAGGTGGTGCTGTCGCCGCAGGGGGGGCACGGGGCTGGGGGAGAGGGCACGCCTGGGTCCCAGGGCCTTGGCCTATTCCCTCTGGGTGCTCCCGGGCCCCTCCCCCACCCCACTCGGAGCTGAGGGGAGCATGGGGCTAAGGGGCGGCGGTGGGAGAAAAGGGATCCCCGGCCCTCCTCACAGGCCGCCTCACCTGACATTCATCTTATGGGTGCGGAAGCCGAGGTAGGGGTCCAGGACGAGGCTGGTGGCCAGGTCGTCGTTCTCACACAGTTCTCTGGCTGTCACTCTGTCGGGCCCCATGCTGCCCCACGGACCATGCTGCCTCTGGCCCAGAGTGGCGGGTGCAAAGCAGGGGCGGAACCCTGGGCAGGTGCTTGCTCTGGGCCACTTATAAGACAAGCGGGACTTTGGCGTGCCCTTCCGTCTCCTCATCTATACATCGGGGAGAACAGCAACACTGACTTCATGGACTCTCAGTGAAGGTGAAACGAAACAAGTACTTCTGACGGGGGGGGGGGGGGGGGGCAAAGAAATCCAGTCACCATCACTAGTATGTCCCTCTCCTCAAACCGCCCACCCACAGGACCCCCTCACACCCCTACACTACACACATGCACGCACACGCGTGCACGCACACACACGCACACACGCATCCCCACTGGCCCCGGGAAGGCTGATTAACCGGCAGTCTGGGATAACCCTAAAGGCTCAGCCCTGCAGGAGGTGGGAGGCAGGGGGACCCAGCCCCACCTCTGGGCCTCGTCTAGGGAAAAGCGAAGGCTTCCCGCCGCGCCGGGACTGACTGTTCCTCCGCCCACCCACAGTCTCCCGGGCCTCGGCCTCCACCTCCCCCGCAGCAGCCGTCGGGAGTCCCGGAGGCTCTGGGTGAAGCCCCAGGCAGCCTGGAGGCGGGGGGAGGGGAGGGAGAGCGGAGGAGGGTTTCCAGCACCTGCTCCCTCTCCAAGGACTCCGGGCGGGCGACAGGGGGCTTGAGGACAAAGCGGGCGACGGGGGAGAGAAAACGAACGGAATGGAGAGGCAGGACAGATCCATGAAAAGAGGAGAGAGGAGGGGATTGGCAAAACGCAACAGAACAGGATCCCTAACGCTGAGAGCCGAGGGCCTGCAGTGCCTCAGGGAGAGTCGATGGGGGACGGCAAGGAAGGGGGAGCTGAAGACAGGTCAGCAGCTGAAGCCGCTGAGAAAGGGGGTCTAGAAAAGACAGGAAGGCTGGGGACAAATAAAGAGGGGGCACTGCGGGAGGGCACTGGGACAGAGCGGAAGCTGCAGAGGGGCATAGGGGTAAAAACACAACACAGAGACCGCACAGAGGGACCTGGGGCAGGGAGAAGGGCCGGGGAGCTGGCGGGGGAGACACAGAGGGCTGCGGGAAGGCTTGGGGATCCGAGAGGGAGCCCAGGCAGGCTGCATGGAGACCTGGGGTCCACAGAGGGTCCTGAGAAGGTAGAGGGGGGCCTAGGGATCCAAAACAGGGCTTGGAAAAGCAGAGAGGGCAAAAGTCCAGGGGATCCAGGGAGGAGCCCAGGGAGGAAGGCCCGAGGAGAGAGCCTGGGGTCCAGGGAGGGACTGGGTGGCAGTGAGGGTCCAGGGAGGGCAGTGGGGGCAGCAGACAGGGGCCTGGGTGGGCAGTGAGGGTCCCGGGAGGGGATTGGGTCCAGGGTAGGCAGTGGGGGAAGCAGACAGGGGCCTGGGCGGGCAGTGAGGGTCCCGGGAGGGGACTGGGAGAAGCAGGGGCCTGGGTGGGCAGTAAGGGTGCAGGGGACGGGTCTGGGGAGCAGTAGGGGAAGCAGACAGGGGCTTGGGTGGGCATTGAGGGTGCAGGGGAAGGGCCTGCGGTCCGGAGGGAAGTGGGGGGAACGGACAGGGGCCTGGGCGGGCTGTGAGGTCCAGGGAGGGCAGTGGAGAGTCAGAGGGCGAGCTGAGCAAGGCCGGGGAGCGGGGAGGGGCCCGGGTGAAGAAGCGCAGGGAAGGGGCAGGGCGCCGAGAGAGCCTGAGGCTCGCGAAGGGCAGGGAGACGTGGGTGCCTGGACACGAGGAGGGGCCGGGCGGGGGGCAGTAGGGGCTGGGGGCGACCGGGAGCCAACGCGGCGCGGGGCGGGGGCCGAGAGGGGGCTCAGAGTTCGGGCCCCGCGCCGCCCCTCACCCGCTTCTCCTCCTCCTCCACCTCCTCCTCAGGCGCCCGCGCCGCCGCCGCCACCACCTCCCACTGCCTCCTCCGGCTCTCGTCAGACACCGTCGCCACCCCTCCCGTCTGCCCTGCCGGGCCAGCCCCGCCACTGCCACCCCGGCCTCCCATTGGCCAAGGCCGCCGCCACTCCTCAGTTGCTCTGGCGCTCGCGCCACTCCTATTGGCCGAGCTCCATTCTGCCCCTCCCCGTCCACCCCCCGTCTGTGCCCCCACAAAACCCCGCCACGCCCGCGCTGCCGTCATGTGCCGCCAACTGCTGCCAATGGCTCCCACCGCTGTCATTCCTCCGCTGCCATGGAGACGTAGCCCCGCCCACGGTCCGAAGTCAACGCCCTCATTGGCCAAAAGCGCTGTCGCTCCGGGCGAACCTCGAGTTTGGTTCAGGTTATTCAGGTCCAAGGGGAAAGAGGGCGGGCTCCACCGGCTCCAGAGCCCGTATGTGATTGGCTGGCCTTGGAATGGCTCATTCTTCCATTGGCTAAGGTGTACGCCGGTCACCATAGAGTCGCAACCTCTCTACTCTCTTTCTGGTGAAATCTTCAGGTGCCCGAGGGAGAAAGCAGGAACGGACGGGAGGGGGTGCTTGCGCGTGCACCTTCGTCGCCCCCTGCCCTGCAAGGCCTGGAGTTGCCAAGGCGACAAACTTTATTAACAACCCTCCCCTGATACAAAGGGCTCTCTCCCTCCCACCTAGACCTTCTCTTCCACTGAGTACCTCGTTTAATTTTGGGAGTACCTACAAAAACACTGTGGGCGAACGGGTTGGAAAGAGGGAGACTGAGAAGTGGGGGCTTTGGAGAAAGCCCTGACTTATGGGGCGCTCCCATGGGGCACCCCCAATTAGGATCATCCCCCTAATCCTACAGGCAAACATAATTAGCAATTCATCATCATTACGCCCAGAATAATAAGCCCTGCACTTGGAGCAGGCGGTCTTTGTTCTGCTGACTATATATCCTGTGCGCTTGGAACAATGTGTGGCCCGGAGTAGGTGCATCGTTAATATGTTCTAAATGAATGAATGAATGTATGAAGCTGACGGTTTCTGCCTCGCTCTATGACATTGAGGAAGTGGCTTGCCGTCTCTGGGCCTCAGACTGCATTTAAAAAACAAGAACCACGCTTGTCTGTCTCTGAGGGGTCCTGCTTAACACCCTCCTGGGTGTCCTCCATCCATACTTCCAGCCTCCCACCATCTGTTCATACTGTTCCTTCCCCGACTGGGGCTACCTCCAGCTCTGAGACACCCTCGAACCCAGCCCCGGCCCCCCCCCCCCCATTCCCTAATAAGAATGGCCACAGCTCCAAAGGAGAGAAAAAGCCTCACTCAGAGAAGGGAAGTCAGCAAGTAAAAAGGACTCCATAAAAAGCTTAGCTCTCTGAAAAGTCCTATCAGTATGTCTGAACCTTAAAAGTACAGCCCTTCTACTTGTGGGTGTACACCCTAGAGAAACTCTCACAAGTGTGAACAAAAGGATAAGCACAAAAATGTGCAACAGTAGAGTTTGTAACGGTGAAAAACTGGAAACAGCTTAAATATCCATTACATGATGAATGGATAAGTGGATTGTGGCATATTCATACAGGGAAATACCATGCATCAGTGAAAGAAGATGAACCAGCGCTCCACATATCAACCTAGACAACCCCAAAGCATCATGTTGCTATTTGCAGATGAATGCAGGAAGTTTTAAAACACATAAAACAAGGGTCGTGTGTGGATAGATATTATAAACATATACAAACGTGCATGGGCATCACAAAGGGAGGGGGAACCCCGTGGTGACCCCTGGAGACGGGGTGGAAGGGATGCAACCAGGAAAGCTACATAGAACAATGTTATTTGTAATTTTTTTTTAAGCCCGGAGGTGGAAACCATGAGTTCACTATATTCATTATCTATTCTTTTTCATATTACATAATACAAAAACACTTTTGACCCACCAATTCCAGTTCCAGGGTTTTATTCTGAGGAAATAACTGGACAAGTGTTAAAATATTTATATAGAGAGATGTTTGTCTCCGCATTGTTTAAAAAACAGAAAAATAGGAAAAGCTTTACTGTCCAACAATAGGAGATTGGTTGGATCAATTACAGCATATCCATCAGACAGAATAACCGCAATCCCTAACAGATACTGAGCTCTGAGCACACACCAGTCACTTTGCAAACAGCCCTGTGAGGCAGGGGCTGTTATTACCCCCATTTTACAGATGAGCAAAGCGAGGCTTACAGAGGGGATGTAACTGGTTGTCAGACTCCAGAGCTTGTGCTCTCAACTGCTGGACGACATTGTCCAGATGGGATCTGGCTGGTTCTCAATGTTCAGATGGCATGAGAGACACCTCAGAAAAGGAATGAGGCATTGATACATGCTGCAACATGGATGAACCTTGAAAACATTATGCTCGGTGAAAGGAGCCAGACATAAAAAAGGCACATATGGAATGATTCCATTTCTGTGAAATGTCCAGAATAGGTAAATCTGTAGAGACAGAAAGCAGATTTGGTGATTGCCAGGGGCCTCAGGGGGGTGGAGGGATGAGGGGGTGACTGATAATGGATGTGAGGTTTCCTTTTTTGGATGAAGTTCTGAAACTAGAGAGTAGTGATGGCTGCAAACCGTCGTGCACGTACATCATGTCATTGAATTGCACACTTTAAAATGGTTAAAATGGTCAATTTGACATTATGTGTATTTTACCACTAACAAAAAAAAAGAAAAAAATAAAGAATCACCTCGGGAATGGAGTGAAAATGTAGATTCCAAAGCTTAGCCTCCAAAGAGCCTGGATGAGTATTTAATAATCAGTCATTTTAGGACGTTGCTACCCAAAGTGTGGCCCGTGGACCAGTGACATCAAGCAGGATCGCATGGACACTTGATAGGAATGCGGAATCTCCAGCGTCACCTAGACTGGTGACTGGAATGCTCCGGAACGTTTGAGAAGCATGCCTTAGAAGATGGCTTTGCAGGCGCTTCCTCAGACCACACCTTCACACTCTGGAGGGACATCGTGGGCTTGGTAACTCTGGGCTGGTGCATGGCTTCCGATTCAGCGGAAAAGCTTACTATAAAACAGTAAGTGCAGGACGATCATATTTCGAGAGGAAAGGGTTATCTATTTACATGTATATGTAAATTAAATTATGAGGGGAGGATGTGGAGAAAAGGGAACCCCTGTACACTGTTGGTGGGAATGTAAATTTGTGCAGCCACTATGGAAAATAGCATGAAGTTTCCTCAGAAAATTAGAAATAAGGGCCGGCCTGGTGGCACAGCAGTTAAGTTCGCACGTTCTGCTTCGGTGGCCTGGCATTCGCCGGTCCGGACCCAGGTGTGAACGTGGCACAGCATGGCACGCCATGCTGTGGTAGGCGTCCCACATATAAAAAAAAGTAGAGGAAGATGGGCATGGTGTTAGCTTAGGGCCAGTCTTCCTCAGCAAAAAGAGGAGGATTGGCAGCAGTTAGCTCAGGGCTAACCTTCCTCCAAAAAAAAAAAAAAAGAAAGAAATTTGCTAAGATGGTAGATCATAAGCGTTCTCACAAAACACACACACACACACACACACACAAAGGGTTACTATGTGGGGTGATGGATGTGTTAATTAGCTTGATTGTGGTAATCATTTCACAACGTATACATATTCAAACCATCACATTGTACACCTTAAATACATACAATTTTTGTTTGTCAATCATACCTCAATAAAGCTTGAAGAAACATGCTTATGGGGAAGTTGTCTCTCTGTTTTCATGGATTACTTGTGTGATAACAAAATGTATATAATAATGTAATAAGATATGTGCTACATATTATGTGGTAATTTATATACGTATACCTTTATGTCTCTCTATATACCTATGCATATGCACACATATATATCTCTATCTATCATCTATATCGTCTTTATCATCATCATCATCATGCTCAAAATTCTGAGGTGGATTCACACCTTAGTAGCCAGCCTCCAAGATGACCCACAGTGACCACCTCCCCTTTTGGGATTCACACTCTTTTGTAGGGGGAGAGAGGGTGAGGAAGATTGGCCCTGAGCTAACGTCTGTTGCCAGTCATCCTCTTTTTTTTTCTCTCCCCAAAGCCCCAGTACATAGTTGTATATCCTAGTTGTAAGTCATTCTATGTAATTTTTCTATGTGGGATGCTGCCACAGCATGGCTTGATGAGCAGTGTGTAGGTCCGTGCCCAGGATCTGAACTGGCAAACCTCAGGCTGCCTAAGCAGAGCACGTGAACCTAACCACTTGGCCACGGGACAGGCCCCAGATTCACACTCTTAGGTAGCTTCTTCCACACTGAAGAGGGCTGAGCTGTGTAATCAAAAGGATATTGCAAAAATGAGGGCATGTCCAAGGCTGGGTTATCAAAGACATTGTGGCTTCCACGTTGCTCTCTTGGGGATCATTCCTCTGGGGGAATTCAGCACCATGTCATGAAGTCATTAAAGCCACCATATGGAGAAGTCCACGTGGCAAGGAACTGAGGCCTCCTGCAAGCAGTCAGAGAGGAACTGAAGCTTCCTGCCAACAGTTTGACAGTCACATGACTGAGCCACCCTGGAACCAATCCTGTCTCCGCTAAGCCTTCAGAGGACTATGCCCCGATCGATCTGCATCTTGACTGCAAGTCAAGAGCAACCCCAAGCCAGGACTGCCCAGCTAAGCCGCTCCTGAATTCCTGACCCGCAGGATCTGTGGGAGATGATAAATGTTTATGGTTAACTTAAGCCGCTCTTGTTAATTGATATACACCTAGATTAAAATCCGACATCCTTACAATGGCCCCCCATTATTCCCCTGACCTCATTTGCTGACTATTCTCCCATCACTCACTCTG